AAAAAAAAAAAAAAATCTTAAAAAATTCTCAGCAAAATTATTTATCTCTCTCATCTCTCTATTAAAGAAAAATTCTTTAACGAAATTCTCTACCAAAAAATGGTTTCACCTATTATCCTTTTATTTTACTATTTTTTACTATTTTACTACAAAATATGAACTCAACTATAAAAAAAGTTTGAATAGATTAAAGTCCAAAAAATTTATTTCGGAATTAAAATCTTTTATACATTCAGACCTCCATAATTGCACACCCCTTGGGACCATATGCATAATTTTCAAAATAGTGCATTTAAAGAGGGTGTGCATTTATAGAGGTAAAATAATTAGAGATCATATAAGCTTGGGACCCAACCAGAGGGTGCATTTAGAGAGGGTATACATAGTGGGTGCAATTATGGAGAGTGCAATTATAGAGGACTGACTGTATTAAGCCAAGTCAGTTTTTTCAGTTTGTTTTTGTTTGTTTTGTTTGTTTTGTGGCTTCGAGACACGATAGTCTCGATTTATTTTTTATACAAAAGTTCAAATCATTCTAACCTTCATGTCCTTTGAAAATGTACTCTCCCAAACTCATTATCGTGGTAAGTTTATTTGTCTCTGCTATATCTTAAATGCTCAGTTAACACTTTAGTGACTGTACTTATGTTACATTAGAGTATTGGAAGAAGAAAGCGTGCTACGCCACCATTTCGCTGGTATGGCGGTACACCATTACACACGTGTCTTGGTCTTTACAACCCTGCGTGCTGCACGTCTTCTTTGTGGATAGGAGTCTTGTCTCCTTTTGTCTTAGTATGATAAATCTTTGTTTGAGGTCTATTGGTTCTGGAGGAAAAATCAATTATGCACCTTCCTCAAATATCAAGTTTACTATTATGAATACACAGAATATGAATATTTCGTCAAACAATGAAACACAATCTTCATAATGATTGATGTATATTAAAAATTTGAAAAAATTGTTAATCGTGATTGCAAAAAAGATGCATATATAAGATAATGAAATTTTCCTTCTTGAAGTATATATATGCGAGTCAATACAGCAATACAAGAAAGGTTAAAAAGGTAATATTTGAAGCTCTTGGGGTAGTTATATAAATATAGTTTTTTTTATTTGCATTTATAGCCAAATATAAGATTTCAAAGTGTAAGATTATATATTTTTATGATTTTTTAACACGTGATGTTGTACTATTAATCACACTGTATCTCTTTTAAATAATGTAAGACCGAATATATTGACTTAACCATATTCAATATAAAATAAACTGTCAAAGAAACTTAGGCTATATATATTCGGCCCTTTAATATAAAATGATGTATTTGTTGGATTGTTGTATAACTCTTCGTTAGAAAACACTTGTAAATATAAATTAAATTGTAAGTTAAATTTTTTTTTACTGAACTATGGTGCCGGAACTCTATACTAGGGATCAGAAAAGATTTGATTAAAATCGAAACTATCGAAAATCGATAAGAATCGATTTTAAATCGAATCTCGAATAAAAATCGAATTTACCTATTGTGGCGCAGTTTCGTTAATTTGACCGTAAATTATTATTTGTTCAAAATAGTTAATTTTGGCCAAATTCATAATTCCGCCCGCGAATTACGTGACGGAACACAAACTTCCCAAAAAGGAAATTTTATCTCCCAATAAAATTCAAGTTGCCATCGCACAAGGTTGTACAAATTTCCAAAAAAGGAAATTTGTTCGTCGATCACTGTAATTTTTTTGTAATCACGTGATATGTGTTTAAACACACCTATTATAAACAGTATAAAAAAAATCGGTATTTGCGAAATGATTAATCGCGATTAATCGATTTTAGAATCGATTCTAATAATGGGAATCGATTCCAATCCCTACTCTATACTCAAAAATAAAATTGGGATACTTATAAATCTTTCAACACTTTAATAAAATAAAATTTCAAAGAAATAAACCGGTAACTTTGTTCTACAAGACAAGTACTATTAAATTACCGGTCAGATTTTCAAAAAAATATCTACATAAAAAGTTATAAGCATTTGAAATTTGATTATTTTTATATGATTGCCCCAAATTTGAAACAAAAAAGTCACATAGATGCATTTATTTTATGGGAATTTACATAATTCGTATTGACATTTAATTATTTTAAGGCTTAAAATGGCTTAAAACGTTCTTAATTTACTTAAAAGCTCAAAAAGGCTAAATTCAACCTCATATTGGCTTAATTCTTCTTAAATAAATACTACTTTCTGCTTTATTCTTTAACCAATTTCTTTTTTTGTACATGCTCGTATCCATTTTTTCTATTTTTTGTCCAAAATTATGAGTTTTTATTGGCTATTGTGCTTCTCACGTGATAAATTAAACATTTGAAACATTTTTGAGTATAAAGTTCCGGCACCATAGAAGTTAGAATTAAACCAATCTGAAATAATATATAGATACAATTTAATCAGTAATATTCAAATAAGTTTAAGCCAGTTAATTGGATAGTAATTCAGTTATATTAAATAGAATTAATTTATTTCTTTTATATTTAATATTAATCATGTCATGATAATATAATTATATTTATTTCCTTTAAATGATTGCATTAAAAAAAGCATTTACAAATAACCAACTCGCTTACAATCAATAATGCATGTTTGTCTATTATAAATACACAACCCCTTTTTGCTTTTGCTTTTCAATATAATGAAAGTATTAAATTTTTGGAAATTTAAGAACTTAAAAAAATCAAGCTAATTTTTTAAAAAATCTTATAAATTTCTACTTTTTAAAAAAAGAATAACTAACGTTATAAACCAGATTAAACTCAATTCCAGATTAAACTCAATTCTAAGGATTTTATCATACCACTATATGATTTAATTTGGAAAGCTGCCATTAAATATTTTTGTCTAGAAATTTTATTTACGCTTTAATGAATTTAGTGGAAATTATATTTTTTATTTTATATTCTGAAGTAAGTTTACGTTATTTTTATCAGTAATACATTTCTCAATTTTGGATTTGTAGATTTGAAGAATTGAAGATTATTAATTTCCTTTTTAAAAATAAATTAATATCTAGAGACTGATATAATAATTTGATATATCCTAATTTCATTTCTTTTTAATCAATTAATAAAAGATTATATTACTTGATTAAAAAATTCAAATTTTCCTGAAACTATAAATTTTAAATATTAGGCGACATAAAGTTAAAAAATTGGTTCTCATATCCCAGCCGGGTCACCAGAACGGGAATCTTAAATTTTTATTTTTTTTCATTAACCAATCAAATTGCGCTAAACTATATCACATGATAAACTAAAATTTGTACGTAACACTATCTGCTATGCAAATGCCTAGCATACAATAAAAAAAATTTTTTTTTTAAAAAAAACCACAATTATGAACTAATTTGAAGTCTTTTCTTTCCCTTTCTTTTGTCACCCTGTTTCCATTTTAGACGCTTCTTTGAAGTAACAGTATTACCACTACACTCGATGTTCACCTTTTTCTGCTTTATCAATGTTTGAATTCCCACATTCAATACAAATGTCCGGGTAGATACCAGTTGAAAAGTATGGCTTCTCCACTTGTGATGTACAGGACCATGAGTCATTAACAAATACTCTTGAAAACAGTTCCTGGATAGGATCTTCTGTATTATCAATTCCACCATCATCAATAATTGTATCATTATCAGCCTCTTCATCAATATCCGAGTCTGTATTTTCATTAGAATCTTTCTCTTGCATATTTTCTTGATCATCAACTCCATTATCATCCTCTATAACATCATGTATATCTGGTTGTTTTGGTGGTACAGCAATAGATAAATCGCATGTATTATGAAATGACATTCCGCAAGTATAGAAAATCGTATCCAAGAATTCTTGCAATAATATCCTATCCTTTTCAGATAATTTCTTTGCACTGAATAAAAGACGTGGCTTCTCACATTCAACACAATTTACAACTACACCAATGTTTTTTGCATGTGCAGCAGAAGGACAAAATGGCATAGTATGCTTTCCTTTTGTAATTTTTTTTTCACCCTTCGCTTTAGTCTTCACATTTTTAAGTGAGGGCCTGTAATTTTCAGTTGTTTGTTTACCATATAATTCCTCAAATGATTTATAATGTAAATCTTCACCAGGTACTGGATCCGGAAGACAATGAAGTTGCACAAAATCTTCTGGTTGACAACGAGGAGGGCGGCAGATAGTACAATTTGGTTCACCACATTTCTTAATTGAAAAAAAGTAGTGGCGCATTGTACAATAATGGTCTAAAAATTCTTGCAAATGTGGCTTAAAGCAAAAGTATGTTAGACAGTTTTTTTCACAAATAATTTTAATTGTTATTAATATTTTTACTTACTCTTCGTTTTATATGTTCTGTAGTACGATCTTCATAAGTAACATTTTCATCAATAAGCCAAATTGCTTCCCAAAATCTCTCCATTTCTGTTTCTGTTGCCGCATCAAACGTTTTAAAAGGCTCATCTTTGAGAGATTGCCGGTTGAATACATCACGAACTAAATTAATTGGTGTTTGAATGCTTGCAATAACATCTTCTTTTAAGGTAGGATTTTCTTCAGCAATTTTGCGGATATCATTCATTGTACCAACTTTACTCATTAATTCCTCAGATTGACCACTCATTTTATCTCGCATTAATCCAACACTTTGCAATCTTAAGTTTAACATTGACATAATATGTTCAACAGGATTTTTCCATGAATGTTGTGGTGGAGTTCGAACAGCAACAAAATAATCAAGGTCTAATGCAATAAAAAGGCAAATATAAGAAAGTTGAACACTAGCATATGTACAGCGATGGTCTGGTCCACCATCTGTATATAGGCATAGCACAGGTTTATCAAAGAGCTCTTCTTTAAGAAATATATGGTAAAGTTCTGTTGCATGTCGGAGAGGTGATGAAGGCTGAAATATTGGATCTTTTAACCCAATATGTACTTTTCCCCTGTAAAAATTACCATTAATAGATTCGGGTATATCACATATCATAGCTACACTTGGTATGATTCCTGTTTTGGTGAAATCATGATCTGCTACTGCAAATGTAGTATCTTTACCAACAACTACACTTTTCCCTTTTTCTACAGCAGCAACAGGAAAGCCTGGTTCACCAACTTTGCAACGATGTTTATCATCTAAAAAAATAATATTTGCAATATTGCGAAACTTCACAGCAAATTCTTTTTCATAACGAAAAAGTGCTGATGCATAATGAACATCTGGGTGGTAAGCTCGTAACTGGTGTGTTTGAATCATAAATTTTAAAGGTAAGCGACTAGTAAATTGTAAACTACTTAATCTTGCTGGATTCTTAGGCCAAAACTGCAATTGTAACCATTGAGCGCTAGGAATTAATGTTCCAGGTGGACACTCACGTTCAATTTGAGTTAAAAGGTCATTCACTGAAATTGCAGTTGCAAGATGTACAATAGTATCATGCCTTCGCTCATCTGTAGCAGTAACAGCATCCGCTGCTTTTCCCGCAAGAAATTAAGCTGCAACTTCCCAAAAGATATCATATTTAGTAGGTTGTCCATCATTATGTTCTCGTAAATCAATAGCAACTTCTGAATCTCCAAGTTCTAAAGCAAGTTTAACACGCGCATCAACTTTTGCTTCATTTGCAGTCTCAGCTGCAGAAATATCCCCTGTTAGCATTTGATAAATTGTCTGAAGTGCTGATGGTTTGGCTTTTGGCAAGAGCAGGTCACAAGTGCGTAGATAATTCATCCTCATTGTTCGTGTATGATAACGAGGTGCATCAGCTTGTAATTCAGTTATTATTCGTGTATGTTCTTGTAATATTATACTTTCATTAGCATCTTCATCAATTTTCCAAATTGATATTATATTAAAAGTGTTATTTCCTGAGTTAAATCGATATTCTCCAATAGTGAAAGAAAATGCACAAGATAAGCCCTGAATAAAACGCAATCTTTGTCTAAAATATAGTTTTTCATTAGAATTTTTATTATAAACAGGCCCAAATATATTATATTTTTGCATACTTACACAGGATCAATTGGCAAGTATTCTTCTATATCAATATGTTTCCATAGTGACGAATTGACAAGCACTTGTTCAAGATGATAATATTTGGATTTATCAAGAGGTGTAATCCAGGTATTTCGCTTGTGAATTTTAATTGTTGTAGCTTGATCAATGGATCATATAGGTGATTCTGATGCATGATTAATAGCAGTAATATTGCGATGCTGTTGTAAATACTTAGTATAACCTGAGATAGCAATGATAAAATCATCAAATGCATCATGGAGCCAATTAAAATTCGTTATTAACATCCATGATGATGTGCTATATTGAGCTAGGGCTTGGCAATGTAAGTTTAATTCATTAGCATCAAAGAGTTTTCGTGATTGCTTATATGATTCTGGATTTGCATGATCAAAAAACTCAAGAAAGAGGTCAGGTATATAATAACTACGCTCTTCAAATTTTTTGTGATTGCGCATATCTATATACCAAATAGTTTCAGTTAAGCTAATAATAAACTCCTTTCNTTTCTTTAAGAAATATATGGTAAAGTTCTGTTGCATGTCGGAGAGGTGATGAAGGCTGAAATATTGGATCTTTTAACCCAATATGTACTTTTCCCCTGTAAAAATTACCATTAATAGATTCGGGTATATCACATATCATAGCTACACTTGGTATGATTCCTGTTTTGGTGAAATCATGATCTGCTACTGCAAATGTAGTATCTTTACCAACAACTACACTTTTCCCTTTTTCTACAGCAGCAACAGGAAAGCCTGGTTCACCAACTTTGCAACGATGTTTATCATCTAAAAAAATAATATTTGCAATATTGCGAAACTTCACAGCAAATTCTTTTTCATAACGAAAAAGTGCTGATGCATAATGAACATCTGGGTGGTAAGCTCGTAACTGGCGTGTTTGAATCATAAATTTTAAAGGTAAGCGACCAGTAAATTGTAAACTACTTAATCTTGCTGGATTCTTAGGCCAAAACTGCAATTGTAACCATTGAGCGCTAGGAATTAATGTTCCAGGTGGACACTCACGTTCAATTTGAGTTAAAAGGTCATTCACTGAAATTGCAGTTGCAAGATGTACAATAGTATCATGCCTTCGCTCATCTGTAGCAGTAACAGCATCCGCTGCTTTTCCCGCAAGAAATTAAGCTGCAACTTCCCAAAAGATATCATATTTAGTAGGTTGTCCATCATTATGTTCTCGTAAATCAATAGCAACTTCTGAATCTCCAAGTTCTAAAGCAAGTTTAACACGCGCATCAACTTTTGCTTCATTTGCAGTCTCAGCTGCAGAAATATCCCCTGTTAGCATTTGATAAATTGTCTGAAGTGCTGATGGTTTGGCTTTTGGCAAGAGCAGGTCACAAGTGCGTAGATAATTCATCCTCATTGTTCGTGTATGATAACGAGGTGCATCAGCTTGTAATTCAGTTATTATTCGTGTATGTTCTTGTAATATTATACTTTCATTAGCATCTTCATCAATTTTCCAAATTGATATTATATTAAAAGTGTTATTTCCTGAGTTAAATCGATATTCTCCAATAGTGAAAGAAAATGCACAAGATAAGCCCTGAATAAAACGCAATCTTTGTCTAAAATATAGTTTTTCATTAGAATTTTTATTATAAACAGGTTCAAGATGATAATATTTGGATTTATCAAGAGGTGTAATCCAGGTATTTCGCTTGTGAATTTTAATTGTTGTAGCTTGATCAATGGATCGTATAGGTGATTCTGATGCATGATTAATAGCAGTAATATTGCGATGCTGTTGTAAATACTTAGTATAACCTGAGATAGCAATGATAAAATCATCAAATGCATCACGGAGCCAATTAAAATTCGTCATTAACATCCATGATGATGTGCTATATGGAGCAAGGGCTTGGCAATGTAAGTTTAATTCATTAGCATCAAAGAGTTTTCGTGATTGCTTATATGATTCTGGATTTGCACGATCAAAAAACTCAAGAAAGAGGTCAGGTATATAATAACTACGCTCTTCAAATTTTTTGTGATTGCGCATATCTATATACCAAATAGTTTCAGTTAAGCTAATAATAAACTCCTTTCCTCGTGTGTCAGCATATGATTGAGTAGACCATTCTCCACCGTGATTTTGAATCCAATTAACAAGATCATTGCGCAGTGTTTGCTTACGATTTATCTTATTTGATTGTGAGATAATTGGAAAATATAACTGGGATTTTCGTTCATTTTGCATCAATATTGTGAAGCTGTTCAGTGGTCCTGTAGTGGAAATTGTTTCATCAGGTTTGAGTCGATAATGCATATGTATCCCCACACTTTTTGTAGGTTCTACAATATTACAGCTGGGGCTAACTTGGGTTGCAATAGCAGTTGGTGTCTCACTTAACTCAACGCGTTCTATTTCTTCAGAATTTGCTAAAGCTATATTACATTCAGGAGATAGTTCTTTATTAACAAGTTTTATGAAAAAATCTTTTACTGACATTTCATAAGGAATAGGATGGATATACCATCCGTGGAGTGTTTTCTTTCCTTTAGAGATACGAATATTCACAAAAGGCATGTTCATGAAAAAGTTTGTAAAAGATTGAAGTGTGTGTTCTTAACGCGTTAATTTTAAATACATGATGTGCAAATTTTATTAGTGGCGCAGTAAAAAAAGGAAAGCCGATTGTCAATTTTCTAATATAATAATAAATATACGTGAGAGACATATTGCTTTATAATGTTAAATTCAATTTAAAAATTTTCACAAAAAATTTCTTCGTCCCTATATAAATATTTTATAAAATAATTTCCCACGCCAAGTCCATACCGATTAACAATATTTAACTATAAACTGTTAGTAACATGAGAAATAAACTTGTAATTAACTTGATATATAAATCTGTCTATGACTTTTTATTAAATTAACTATATTAATATAAATGTTTACATATGAAATCTTCCATATTACATGATCGGATGAAAAAAAAATTTTTTTCTAAAAAAAAATAAAAAGCTGTGCGGCCGGGTTAAATCAAAGCAAATTTTGATATGAGAACCAATTTTTTAACTTTATATCGCCTTAGGTAAAATATTAATAAGTTACAATAATCTTCGTAAATTCTTTTGCGTTAGGACCAAAATGATACAATATGTTATTAAATTTGGCAAGAATAATCACAGAGGCGATGCATTAGTGTTGTTTAATGAAAATAAAAAAATATGCGATCACAAAATCGGAAATCAAATATAAATCACGTGATCGAAGGCGTATAAAAATAGAAGTTATAATTTCAAAGATTACAAGTTACAACAAATAGAGAAATTCATTAAGGGTATTATTTGTAGAACAATGTTTAAACATATCAATGGATTACATATTAAAATGGAAACACCTATGTAAAATTAAATGTAAGCTCAAAAGGTAAAAATAGTTATATATGACGATGGTAGTAGAAAACTGAATACTAAATATACAAATATTAATAAAAATTCGATCAGGAGATTATAATATCTATGAAATTTGGGGAAAATTGAAATAATAAAATGATATGACGAATCGAAACCAATACAAGAGCTTATCTAACACCAGAATTATTATCATTACAAATGAATCAGGCTACTTTATATTATTATCACCAGTAGCAATAAATGAGATATATATTGAAACATGTAAGTAAAATATAGTATACATTTTATTTATTGTTCATGTCTGTAATCAATTTTTTGAATATTAATTACTACTAAGTTTAAAATATAATAACAATTTCATGAAAAAAAAAAGAAAAAAAGAAAATAAATATCAAAATAAAAAACAAAAATGGAATATAAACTATTTAATTTTATCCTAAATTTTTTCTTTGCCTCACATTCACTATTTTGGTCTGTAAAAGAATAATGGAAAATATATTAAATACAAACAAAAAAGGTAAGTTATCATGTTAGCTAAATATTTTCCATTTTAATAATATTTAATTGTGAGATATCAATTTGTAAAGATTCTAATTAAGGAATTAAAGTTTTATTATAAGTATATTAAAATGTCAATCAGTTTTATTTTATTGTACAAATACCTGAAAATTCCTTGCTTATTATATCATCATTTTGTTCGTAATAATCATAAGAATTTTTTGGTTCAGGAAGATTATTAAAATTGAGCAATCTACTTGTATAAATAGCTTCTGAATGTGTTTTATATGATAATCCCAAATTAGTTGGTGTGTTTTCGGTTAACAAATTATTATTTTCTTCTTCCGCTTCTTTAATTTGTCTTTGTAATTCTGTTTGATTATTATTCAGATCATTTAGCCATTTCTTTAAAATTTCATGAGTTTCTTCTGTTGTAGGCCGATTTAATGGATTAGCATCTAAACATCTTTTTATTAAACGTACAACTAATTGAGGTACTTTAATATTAAACCTTGGTCTTAATCCTTTACAAATTTTTATTGCTAAAAGATTATCATGGCTTATATCATTATATGGAGGTAATCCAGAAATTAATTCATACATAATTACACCAAAACTATAAATATCTGCAGCTTTTGTATAAGTTTGTCCTCGTATAATTTCAGGAGCTACATAAGATAAAACACCATATATGGTATTTTTTGTATTTTCTGATTCTTTGCAATCTGCGGGTTTACATAATCCCATATCAGCTATGTGCATGTTAAGTATAGACATTAATATATTACCACTATGTAAATCTTGATGAATAAATTCTTTTTCATGAATACCATCAAGTCCACTCGCAATTTCTAGTAAATATTTAATTTTATCATACCAATTTAAATTATTATAATTTGTATCTAAGTAATTTCGTAAACTCCCATTATCTGCATATTTTAAAACCATTATATACTCTTCTGTCTCTGGATCTTGAGTCATTCCATAAAATTTAATTATAAAATCTTCAAACTTATCAAATTTGCTATGTATCATAATCTATTATATAATAAAAAATATTAATTAAAATTTATAACCCAATTTCAAAATTAAAAAATAATTATATTATACCTCATTCATAAATTTTAATGTAATATTTTTTGAATTATTTAAACTTTTTAACGCCACAGGCATATTTTGATATTCTCCACCATCTATCCAAATTGCTCTATATACTTTACCAAATCCACCTTTTGCAATATACTTAATATCATAAAATCTATCATAAGGTATCCATTTTAATGCATTTGATACGTCATTATGAACTGATAATTGGGTATCTTGAATCAATTTATCAATATCATTATTACCACTAGTCCAATTTCCAAAATTTTGTTGAAAATGTATTGTATTACATACATTATTACATTCTTTACATTTATTATTCAAAACCATCATGAAATTTTTTGTTTCTGGATCCTGAGTTATTCCATAAATTTTATGATCTAGTTTAATCTATATAACATAACATTAGTAAATAAAAATTAACAATCTTACTAAAAGATAATAAATTAATATACCTCATTTATAAATTCTAATGCAATATCATTCAAACTTTTCAGATTTACAATCATATTTTGATTTTCTCTTATCCAATTTTGACCATTATTATCCCAATAATTTATGGTTCCATCAATCCAGTTTGCTATATACTTTTCAGCTTTTGTAATACACTTAATATTATAAAACCTATTATAAGATATCCATTCTAATACATCAGATACATCATTAGTATGAACTGATAACTGAGTAGCTTGAATAAATTTATCAATATCATTCTTGCCACTAGTCCAGTTTCCAAAATTTTGATGAAAATGAAGTGCATTACATATTTTATTACATTTTTTACATTTATTATCTAAAACCATCATATAATTCTTTGTCACCGGATTCTGAGTTATTCCATAAGATTTATTGATCTACAAATATAGTAGATTATTAAAATTGAACTTTAAATTTTCATAAGTAATAAATTAAAATACCTCATTCATAAATTCTAATGTGGCACTCTTAAAATTATTTAAGGGATTCAACTCTACAATCATATTTTTATTTTCTCTTTCCCAGTTTTGATTATAATTACTCCAACAACTTAAATTTCCATCAATCCAGTTTGCTCTATACATTCCAGTTTTTGTAATATATCTAATATTATAAAATCTATCATAAGGTATCCACTCTAATACATCTGATACTTTATTATGAGCTGACAACTGAGTATTTTGAATAAATTTATCAATATCATTATTACTACTGGTCCAGTTTCCAAATTTTTGATGAAAATGCGGTGCATTACATATTTTATTGCATTTTTTACATTTACTATTTAAAACCATCATATAATTTTTTGTTATTGGATTCTGAGTTATTCCATAAGGCTTATTAATCTACAAAAATAAATAGATTAATAAATTTAATAATTTCAATATTTTATAAATTAGTAAACTAAAATACCTCATTTCTAAATTCTAATGTGACATTCTTTAAATCATTTAAAGTTTTCAGTTCTACAATTGTATTGTTATTTTCTCTTATCCAATTTTGATTATAATCATTCCAATAACTTATGTTACTATCAATCCAGTTTGCTCTATATTTTTCAGTTTTTGTAATACATTTAATATTAGAAAATCTATCATAAGGTATCCATTCTAATGCATTTGATACTTCATAAGATTCATGAACAGATAACTGAGTGTTTTGAATAAATTTATCAATATCATTATTGCCACTGGTCCAATTTATGAAATTTTGTTGAAAATGTATTGTATTACATACTTTATTACATTTTTTACATCTATATTCCAAAACCATCATATAATTTTTTGTCATTAGATCCTGAGTTATTCCATAAGATTTGCTGGTCTACAAATATAGATAGATTAGTAAAATAGCAAATTTCAAAATTTTCATAAGTAATAAGTTAAAAATACCTCATTCGTAAATTCAAATGTAATATTATTTAGATTGTTTAAATTTTTTAGTTCTACAATCATATTGTTATTTTTTCTTATCCAATTTTGATTATTATTACTCCAATAACTTAAATTTCCATCAATCCAGTTTGCTCTATACTTTTCAGTTTTTGCAATAGATTCAATATTATATAATCTATTATAAGGGATCCATTCTAATACATCTGATACATTATTATGAACTGATAACTGAGTATTTTGAATAAATCGGTCAATATCATTATTGCCACTGGTCCAGTTTCCAAAATTTTGATGAAAATATAGTGCATTACATACATCATTACATTTTTTACATTTATATTTCAAAACCATCATGTAATTTTTTGTTATTGGATTCTGAGTTATTCCACAAAGTTCTTTGATCTACAAATTTGATAGATAAGTAAAATTGCAAATTTTAAAATTTTCATAAAGTAGTAGTAAAAATACCTCATTCTCAAATTCCAATGTGACATTCTTTAAATCATTTAAAGTTTTCAGTTCTACAACCATATTGTTATTTTTTCTTATCCAATTTTGATTATTATTATTCCAGTAACTTATGTTACCATCAATCCAGTTTGCTCTATATTTTTCAGTTTTTGTAATACATTTAATATTAGAAAATCTATCATAAGGTATCCACTCTAATGCATCTGATATTTCATAATATTTATGAACTGATAGTTGAGTATCTTGTATAAATTTATCAATATCATTATTTCCACTAGTCCAGTTTCCAAAATTTTGTTGAAAATGTATTGCATTACATACTTTATTGCATTTTTTACATCTATATTCCAAAACCATCATATAATTTTTTGTCATTAGATCCTGAGTTATTCCATAAGACTTGCTAGTCTACAAATATAGGTAGATTAGTAAAATAGCAAATTTCAAAATTTTCATAAATAATAAATTAAAAATACCTCATTCGTAAATTCAAATGTAATATTATTTAGATTGTTTAAAATTTTCAGTTCTACAATCATATTGTTATTTTTTCTTACCCAATTTTGATTATTATGATCCCAGAATTTTATGTTACCACCAATCCAGTTTGCTCTATACATTCCAGTTATTGCATTATATTTAATATTGTAAAATTTATTATAAGGTATCCACTCTAATGCATCTGATATTTCACGATATTTATGAACTGATAGTTGAGTATCTTGTATAAACTCATCAATATCATTATTACCACTAGTCCAGTTTCCAAAATTTTGATGAAAATGCAGCGCATTACACATTTTATTACATATTATACATTTTCTATTTAAAACCACCATATAATTTTTTGTTATTGGATTCTGAGTTATTCCATAAGGTTCATTGATCTACAGATTTAAGAGATAAGTAAAATAGCGAATTTTAAAGTTTTCATAAAGTAATAGTAAAAATACCTCATTCTCAAATTCCAATGTGACATTCTTTAAATTATTTAAAGTTTTCAACTTTACAATCATATTTTTGTGTATTCTTTTCCAATTTTGATAATAATTACTCCAACAACTTAAATTTCCATCAATCCAGTTTGCTCTATACATTCCAGTTATTGTATTATATTTAATATTATAAAATCTATCATAAGGTATCCACTCTAATACATCTGATACTTTATTATGAGCTGACAACTGAGTATTTTGAATAAATTTATCAATATCATTATTGCCACTGGTCCAATTTATGAAATTTTGTTGAAAATGTATTGTATTACATACTTCATTGCATTTTTTACATCTATATTCAAAAACCATCATATAATTCTTTGTCATTGGATTCTGAGTTATTCCATGAGGTTTTTTGATCTATAAATTTAATAGATTAGTAAAATTAAAATTTCCAAATTTTCATAAAGTAATAGTAAAAATACCTCATTCTCAAATTCCAATGCGATATTCTTTAAATCATTTAAAGTTTTCAGTTCTACAATCATATTGTCATTTTTTCTTATCCAATTTTGATTATCATCATTCCAGTAACTTATGTTACCATCAATCCAGTTTGCTCTATATTTTTCATTTATTATAATACATTTAATATTAGAAAATCTACCATAAGGTATCCATTCTAATGCATTTGGTACTTCACAAGATTTCTGAACAGATAACTGAGTGTTTTGAATAAATTTGTCAATATCATTATTGCCACTGGTCAGTTTTCAAAATTTTGTTGAAAACGTATTGCCTTACATATTTTATTACATATTTTACATTTATCATTTAATATTTTGTTAACGTACAATGATTTGATTGGTTTTTCTTTATCCATTAATTTTTTTATTTATTATTTTAATCTTTAATTATTATAAAATTTCATAAAAGAGGAAATTAAGGTTTGTACATAGATTTATAAATATATTTTTCGTAAAAGACACTGAGGAAAGAAAAAAAATTTCATTCTAAAGCCATTACATAAATAGTAAACTTATGCAATGATTACGACATCCTGGCATCCTGTATACGGTACTATATTTGTTGATCATTTCATATGACATCATATGATAACTCCTTATTTTGATAATTAATTATATTTAGATAATAAAATTTCAATATAATGGTTGATCACTTCGATCAAAATTTTAGAACGGAAAAGTGGTATTGGAGACAAAATTTATTATCAAAACATACAATTTTACAGGATATAGATATAGGTTTATCAAAGAAAGTAATAACCTTTTATCTGAACATATTGGCTCACCAGGTTCTTCAAGGTTCGAAGAGTTAGGCGAGACTTTTTAACAAACGGAGTAGAAGAGAGGTATTTAGAGTCAATACGGAAGTCCATATTAAACAAAAAAACAACTATAAAACAAATGCAGATACGTCGTATCATATATATATAGATGAAATGGAAAGACTTTCGATAGAATGCGAAGAACTACACTCTTGGTTGCAGCAAGCACGTGAGGAGGTTACACGAGTTAAAACGGATAAGGAAAAAATTGGAAGTGAAGGAACGAATAATAAGGAAGAATGAAGACGCAATCGATCGCTTAAAAAAAAGAGATTGTTAAGGAAAAGGAGAAGGTGAAACAAAACAAAAAGACGATCAAGAAAAAAGGAGTTGATCACAGAGATTCCGGTTTTAGTCGACGTCTCGACGATCAGGATCAGGTGTTACAGGATAAGTCACGTGATATTTTCTTTTAAAGATGATGACATTTTTAGATAATTTTGAAAGACAATTTTCAGAAAACTCTCCCCCCTTTCCGATTTTTTTGTTAACAAACCGCAGTAATATAAATTTTTTCACAAACACTTATATTTTTGTAAGGAGCGAGGACCACTTGGTGGCCTCTACGGAAAGGTCTCCTTTTATTACCCTTGACCTTTGAGAGATATGGATACAGAAGTTATATCTGTTCCCGTTCAGCTGGTTCATAACGACCAGACTACTTTACCTTTACCTCTTCTTTCTCCCTCAAAAACGTTTAATAATACGTCCAATTTTCATAAAAATACTTTTCTTGTCTCTGTGAAAAAATTTCACGTGATGACAAAATGCCGAACCGGTTATAACAAGATTTACGAATTCAGGCGCTCAAAAAGTTTCCTTTTTGAGCTTGCTGATGTTTTCTCGGACACCAATAATCTTCATTTATTTTTACACACCAATGATTATCACATGGATTCTACGCCTATTCGATACACATCCACGAGCTATTTGCCTAACACAAAATATCAAATTAGTAAAATGCTCACACACTTTTTTACCTTACAAAAAGTTTTACCCCAACGTATTCAACAAAAGTATTTTGATTTGATTCGCCAGAAATTACTGGATCGAATCGACTTTATCAAGTCACGTGCTTCTAATAGAACTTTGAAGAACACTCATACAAAAACTTTCTTCTCGTTTTCTTATAAGCGCTATCGCTTCCACTTTGGTATTTACGTTCCTTGTGAACATGTTTGCACACCCGCTTTATCTAATTCTCTTACCCGGTGTCATAGCCCGAGCCCTTTCGTCATGTCTTTAAATAGACGTGCTTGTGGTACTCATCAACCTGAATTTTCGAGAACAAAAATTAATCACCATTTGAAACCTGTGCCTGAATTGGACCCAGGATATACGAATTCAAAATCTTCACACGCTAATCATGTATACGATCTTTGGCAACATCGATGGAAAAATGAGATCTTTTCCAACCGCCTTGGCATTCAGTACAATGTATGCTATGTGGCTAACAGTACTAATTTCGTGCGCAAACATCCAGGCGCCTATATTTACAGGAAACACCTTTCGAATTTCAAACTCAATCATAGCAGTAATCCTGCAACGAAGCGCAAACAGGAAACCCGCTTCAAGAGACATTGTGCAAGGGTGCTTAAAACTATTGACCCTACCTCCCGCACTTTGAAAGATGACAAACTCTCAGCTGGAAGACGTTTTCGCTTCCTATTCGATGAATCACAACATATCTACTCACCTCTTCACCATTTGAAATTCAAAAAATTTTCAACGGAGAAATTATTACCTGATCCTGATGATTATATATTTAAAATACCTCATCACACGCTGCCGAATTGCAGCACTACGTCACAACCTTTGACCTTATCTAGGCCTTCTGGCGTTAATACTATCCCTCATTATTTGAATGCTGCAGAAATCGAGGCTCTCATGGATTCGTTAGAACCACTTCCTCGTAGCACTATATACTATGGTTATAATCCCGTAGACCCGTCTAAAGTGAATAGTAGTTATTATTTGCAATACAACCCCTTTGAACCTGACTTACCCCCGACTACCCATATACGTCGGTCTAACCCTTTAGATTACGACTCATCCGCCGCTAACGGTATGGGCACCACACTTAAACATTATTATCGTCGAGGAATATCAACTCGACAACTGACGGTTCATACTAATGGATTTCACGAGCAGATGAATCAACCCCCACCTCCTCCAATGCCTTGCAAAAAGAAACAACATCGCAAGTGGAAGAAATGGGTGGAAAAATATCAAGATTACTACGACTATACGTGCATACCGTACGCTCCTCGGCCTTGTCACCCGGCTGAATACCATATAGATCTCTTTGGTTTACCTTCATACACCTCAGATGAAACTAAATCGGTGGAATACCGACCTAACAAGAGGGACACTTTGTCCTATCCTTCCGCTTCGTCACAATCACATGACCACAAACGAACAAGACCAGCGAATAGTTTCCCTACCGACTCCCTATTTTCTAGTCTTAATTCTAATTAATTTAGTTTTTCTTATTCTATATATGTATATTGTTCATGTAATGAGTCTTAAACACTTTTTTCCTATTTTACATTCTACATTTTGGCGTCTATGAATTACCCTTACGTCATCATGCACGTTTGTATATGTATCAAACAATTTAAAATAGTGTGAACCATTCCACTTATGACAGTATTGACAAGTGGCAGCCTTAGGGCTGAAAGCAAAATACGGGTTTTATTAATTTTTCTTGTTTTTTTTCTTGGGATTTTGGTAAAATTGTTTTTTACTTTTTTCTTTTTGCTTTTTCTTTTTTTATTTCAAGGCGGGTGTTCTTGGGAAAGTTCGTGGTTCTGACTCGTGTTCACCTACTCCATAAAAGAACAGAATTCGTCACGCTTCGGGGTGGCTTGCCTGTAGTGATAGTATTATAGATAGAACTTTACGTTCTCTGTATAATTGAATCTACGGGTTCGCTTTTCTGTTTTCTAAAAATAAAAAAAAAATTGAAAGACAATTTTCAAATAATTCTTTCGGTATTGGTATTAATAAACATTGGATCAGATGGTACAAAGGAAGGAGCAGGGATCGTTGGCAATTAACTAGGGACTTGACGGTAGAAGAAATGGGGAATGTAAAAAGAGTGAATATGAATTTGTGAAGAAGGTAGTGAATAGAGATTCTTTCACAGGTCGTTTTGCTAAGATTCTTATCAACGCGGCCATTACGAATCTATCAACTTTCAATCGCCGGAGTTGATTTCCGAAAAAATTCTTTTGAAATCGGAAAACTGCAGTCACGTGATTCATCGGCAAAATGTTTATCCAGATAAGTACTATCAGAAGTTGTTTTAACCGGAACTTCACCAAATGGAAAATTATAGTGTATTTTAAGGATCAAAAATCAACGGAGGCAGCGGTGGAAGAGTCATTAGAACAGGGATCGCTGGAGAGAGTATGGAAAGTGAGAAATTTCAAAAAGAGAAAGTGGTGAAAGAGAAAACGGTAGGCAGACAAGAGACAGCGCCGATCAGGTACACGGGATTCATAGGACAATGTGAAAGGGATTTCACTGAGTCTCATTTGGATACGTCTCCACAAAGAATTTATTCAGAATTAGGTAGTATTAGTATGTATCAGCATCCGAAAAATCCAAATAATGACAAAGTGTGATGAAGCTGCGTTAACGGAAAATTAAGTTGTGGATGAAATTGATAAGTATAGAAAGGGAGTTGAAGATGATGCACCGATTTCTACGGTAGCGAGTAAGAAATTACAAAAAGATTACGTTACCACAGATGAGGCCGTAAAAATTATTAACGATCATAGAGAGAAGAATTTCGAAGAGGAACGAATTCCTTATAAAAAATATGACCCATATGTATGACTTTGCCAACAAAGGATAAAATGGCAGACGTAACTCCAAAATATGACGAATTAAAAGAAGCTTTTGTGAAATGTGAAGAATAGATGGAATGGGAAGCTATAGAAAAGGATGCGGTAAGAATGGAGAAAACAAAGCGTCGTTTACACGGCGGAATCACATGATGTGATACAAAAATTCACTTTAAACGATGAGTTTACAAATCGCGAGACGGATATTAAGATTTAAGAATATGAATGAAAAAGAGCAACAAGACCTAAGGAAAAGAAGTATCAAAAAAGATGGATGGTGGAACGAGAGTAAGTCATATTTTTGTTGAAGTTACGTATTTTACGTTATAAAAATTTCCAACAAGAAATAGTTAGGATTAATGTTTAATGTACTAGTTTAATTTAGATAGATCCCTTATTGACATGATGCTTTGATGCTTTTGCGTCCACGTTATAATCATTTATGCTGTAATAAATTTTTATAATACTAGTTAACTAGTAAAGGGTGTTAAAAAAAAAAAAAAAAAAAAAAAAAAATTTCAATATAATAAAAACAAGATCAGTATCATTCCAATACAGAAAATGTTGACTATACAAATATGCGCCGTATAGTACTTCCCTGCCAGTTCTGCCATAAAAAAATATCCCGGGTAATTCAATTTCTTAAATAGGGTAGATTGATTTATACCCGGGTACTTTAGTAAGTGCTATACGGATAGATTCCAATAAATGGATAATTGAAAAACACTAAACAAGGAACACGACTGCAAATATTAAGAGCATTAAATTCATTACTTATGATATATTATTCTTCTAATACAATTTATTTCCAAAATTTGTATTTAACAGTCCACGGTAACCTATCGAATTTTATTCTTTAAAAATAGGGAGTCTAAGGACACGAACTCAGTTTTATAGTAAAGTGATTACATGATCCATTGTTACTTTTTTTTGACTTAATTTATTTAAAGATATTTCTATTTACTATTTTAAAATTAGCATAAATTTTGTTGTAAGCTTTCCTAAACTGAAGTAAACATCCTAATTCAAAACCCACAAAAGAAATGGTCATTACCAGAGTTGTAAATCAATTAGGCGACTGGAGATCGCTATCTTTCTGAGATTTTTCTAGGATACTAAAAAAATGGAAAAAAAATAGAAGTCCCACTAGTTCCAACTATAACAATAGAATCAGCAGCTATTGGAAGATCCTTGATTTGATTGCCACGTGATTCACGTTATGGCTTTTAGGTCTTCTTGTTCCTAGTACTACTATCACACTCTTTCCTTGAAGAATTTCATCCTTCTCAATAGTTTCAGGAGAACGTCGTAGTTCTTGAATTTCGATGATTAACGGAGTATTTATTGCATATATTAATACTTTATGTTTGTTGAAGTATAATATCTTTTTTAGCCGTTCAGTTAATTTATTTAAAATTGAGTAAGAGTTCGTACGTATCACGCATTCAGCGAAGTTGTTTTGCATACCGTTGGAGACGTTGCGGGTAACTGCTTGAAACTTATCTAGTTTATTCTTTAATAATGCGTGTATATTTCATCATGCATGTGATGATTTGCGTCAATTGTAAACAGTTTCTTTTCACAAATGACTATACTAAAACTTTATATATTTACAATAAATTTACCTACCCGACAAATTATATTCGGATGAAAAATGCGTTTTAATTAAAGTTCAATTTATTTTTATTTTTTATTTTATTTTTAATATTACGACAAGAACAGAGTAGTGTACAAAACAAAGATTGCTAACCCAAAAAAAGGCAGACATATAAGTCACCGACTAAAAGGCGTAACCAGTCTTAAAATTCCAATTTATAAAACAAATTAGTATTAATTATTATCATTTTCGAAAACATTGACAATTTGCGATGTTGTCATGTGACTTTTCGTGTGATACGAATTTTAACATCTTTGTATTAGGGTTTTTTTTAAATACATTTTAAAAAAAGTCTAAGCGATCGGTAAACAATCGGTATCATGTGACTTCAAATTTAGAAAATTCCTCGTAACACGTTCTCACGTGAACTTCAATTCCATTTTTATTTAGCGTTTATCCAGGGGATTAAGTGATTAACATATTTAATCCAAATTTGAAATAGGTAAATAGGCGGATTAGTGTAACAAAAAAAAAAGTTATTATTTTCTATAAAAAAGTAAGAATTTGTACGCCGCATTTCAAATTATTTAATATTTTTTTTTCTCTCTCTCTCTCAAATATCTCAAATATTCAAAAGATGTTACGACTCAACGTAGATTGTCTTGTACTTATTTTTGATGAATTGCAAGATAAAGAATCTTTATATTCTTGCCTTTTGGTTAATAGAGAATGGTGTAGATTAGTGGTACCTATATTATGGAAAAATTATTCATGGTGTAACGTTGATGAATTTAATTTTTTCAATACTATACTTTCTTGGTTATCAACATCATCAAAAAAGATTTTATCAGATAATGATATTAAATTACCTTCAACAACACTTTTAAAACCTCCATTATTTAATTATATTAGTTTTTGTAGATTTCCAGAAACAGAAATCATAAATAGGATGATAGAAATGGTATTAGAGAAACAAAATGATAATAATAAGAGAAATATTTTAGAACAAGAAATTTATAAATTATTTATTAGTCAATGTAAAAATGTTAAAGAATTTGTATGGAGAACTTCACAACCATTATCATTATTCCCAGGAGCATCAAAATGTTTCTCACAATTATATAGATTAACTATAGATCTTGATTATATAAATTCTAATTCTCTTAATGAGATGGCGAAAATTTGTAAAGATTTGAATATATTATCTATTAATAATTGTTCACAAGATTTTCCTGGATTAATTTCTTTAATTGATGCTCAAAGAAATTTAAATTTTGTAACCATTTGTAATAATAGTAATAATATTAATAATAATAAAAAAAATTGTGAAGAATTAAGCAAAGCATTAACAAGGAAAGGAAATACAATAAATTATCTTCATTTGGATTCAGTAAATACCATTATTCCACCTTCATTCTTAACATCACTTGTAAATTTAACATGGATATTAGTTTATAATGATGAACAATATGAAGATTTAGAAAAGATTAAAGAATTTCAAAAATATCTTGCAATTTCTGAATATCCTGATCTTAGATCTCTTAATATTACTGGATTATTATGTTTTAAAGAATTATCAATGTTAATTGAAAAGACGAAAGGGAATATTTCACGTATATATATTTATACAATAAATATAGCTAATAGAGCTGCAACAAATACAGGAATGTTAATTAAATCAATTGCAAAAAATTGTCCAAAAATTAAATTTTTACGTACATATCTTGAACCAGAAGATTTTATTCATGTAAAATCATTATTATTAAATTGTAGAAATTTAGAAGATATAAGTTTTGATAATATTAATTTTATTATAAATGAAAATGATGATGATGTGGGTGATGAATTATTAAATATTTTAACAAAATTTTCTCCAAAATCTTTAACTCATATAACAATTAGTGGAAGTTGGAAATATTCTCTTGATTCTTTTGAACGATTTTTTGCAAGTTATAGAAAGAAATCTTTACTTCATTTTTATATAGAATATCATTATGATAAATATTATATTACAGAATATCATAGAATGGTTATTAGGAAATATGTTGACGAAGGAGTTATAAAATATCAAGATCATATATAAAATATATTTATTTATAATTAGTAGTTTATAAAGATGAAAGGCTTTATGATGGATTTGGATCGTATAAAATTTGAATTATAGAACAAGGAATATAGAGAAAGTTAATCCCAAGAAGAAAAGAAATTATATAAGAGAAGTTTACGTGGTTCCGGGATTCATGAACATCGTAATTGTAACGTTTAAGGCACGCTCTGCTCCCGGTCCCTCTAAAGCGACAAGATCCTCTAATATAACGCCTAAGAGTTTCCGGGAAATACTTGAGAATGAAGGAGAATATATTTTTGTTTTTTAGCATTTTTATATTACACATACAAATTATTTATTTATTTTTTTTTAAAATAAAATATAATTTACGTACTAATTATTCTTGCTTTATATTTTGAATAATAACATGTTATACTGTAATTAAGTTCATTTAAATTAAGATTATGATCTGTATACTAAATGATATTTATGTTAATAAACTGATTAAGGCTTATATTTACTTTACTAATAAAGAATCAACTACAACAAAATACTATTAAAACAGCTGCTAATAGGTATAATTTATTATTTTTACTATTAATTTATAAATCCTCGTTTTGATTTTAATTTTCCTTTATTTAATCCTAATGATTAATTCTTAGTTATATAAAGAATTTTCTGCTGTATAGAGAAACACTTTGAACTAGTGGTGTCAAGCAGGTCATATAAATTTTAACGCTTTGAAAGTGGTTTAAATATTTATAATGAAAGCAAATTAAAGTACCATTTAATATAAAATATTTATTATCTCACAAGATACTTATAGGTATAGTAAAATTTTTAGATAATATATAAATACGATAAAGATTTCTGGCAAATTATTCCACTCTGACACTTATTCCCCAGATTCTTGTATTGTTGCTGTAAAATAAATCTTTTATTAATGTCTAAATTCTGCGAAATCCATTTGCACCTTAATACCCTACGTCCCTACCCATGCAGTATTCTTATAATTAAAATTTTTTGACGACCAAAATTTTCTATAATTTTTTTCAACGCTATTTTAATTCAAAAATTTAATTTACCCTCAATAAAGTTATGATTTACATGCTGACATTCTGAGTAATTATTATGGACGTTCTAACTGATACATCCTAAGCATAACCAGATTCATTATTTCTAAATTATTTGATAATTAATACTTGATCCACCCGATTTTCCAATTCTCTGGCGACTATTTTGCAAATTAAAATGACACTTTTGATTATGTTCAAAGGTTGAAAACCCTACATTATAATTCTCGAAACTTACTTCGCTACTAGAATTGCATTATACCGAAAACTACTCGATTGTCAAAGGATTTTTTTTTTTATCAATCAAATTCAATATTATTTAATGTCTACCGCATTAACCAATAAATTGATCATCTGTGAACTCAGTTATCTTGAATAGTAGGACAACACCTATAATAATAGAGTTATACAGATCCCACTGAAAATATTATCTATGCGACTTTATATTAATCATGCAAACAGCTTACTGTATTTTAATATAATCTCCATTACATCAGATTAACAGAACTTTCTACAATCATGTAAATTCTTTTCATCTTTACATAAAATTATTCATGTTATTATAATTTGGACTTTTACTAAATCTTGTTATAATGAATATGTCATCGTTTCTTAAAATTTTTTTCAAGTCAAAAGGCCAAAGATTTAATATGAAAGGAAAATTAGATATATTCCATAATGTTCAAATGACATGTTGTAAGGAGATTACCATAAAAGAAAGTGTAGTGAACAATCGTTAACGGAAATTGTTATCATTTCAGAAAGTGTGTATTTTATTGCCCGTCATATCGGAGATGAGCGCAATAATTACTGGTCATTCGGAAATTAAAAAAAACACTTGTGCTTTTACAATCAATGGTGAAAATTTTACCAGATTGTCTGGCCGTCATATCAAAAATTTTATTTGATTTCATGATCAACGTACAGTACGTAAATATTATAACTTTGAATATTAATAAAATTATTTTATAATTTCAAATATTATCAATAAAAGTTGCTCGATTTTAAGATCAGAAATGGGTTGATTCTTGATTCAAAATTAACGAACAGCACAAGTGCAGGAGGCACATGTAATTAAAATGTCCTGTAATTTATAACAAAATAATGACAGTTTGGAATTTCTAGACACTTCCAGACATTCCTTTTTTTGAATTGATCTTGCTTTATATGTTTATAGTTCACGCCAAATGATGACGACATACAGTCTGAACTTTCCGGTTACTTCCGGACTTTCCTTTTTTGGATTGATCTTTTACAGTTCACTGTATTTTCCCGGAAATGACGTAATAAAAATTATATAGGGCATCTAATCTCATGTTTAGTTAGAATTGCTGTGACTGATTCAGATTCACTACTTTTGATCATGACGTATTAAAAAATCGCGTAGTTTATAAACACATGATATCAATGATGTAATGATGTAAATGTGATCCAATCGGCACTATTTATGTATTTAGTAAGGTTTCATCAGCATAATAAGTTTGATTTTACGTAATATATAATAAAAAAGATTAGTAATCAAAATTTTTTTTTGTATGATAAATAATTCCTTTTCTCTTCTCTCTTTTGTAAAAATAACGAGGAGGCGTATCAAGAAAAGTAAAACTTTACGAAAGTCGGACAATCCAAAAATAAAATCAAATAACAAACTTCAAATAAAAAGGCATTTTTACGTGGTTTACCCTGTTTATAATCAGTTATCATCAATGACACATCAGAAAAAACATCCTGGTTATACCGTTAATTCAATTACGTTCTATAATCCTCCTTATAATTCTCAACAAACGACAGCTGTGAATCAACAACATTTACAACAAGCGCCTTTGAGTTTTCCTTCTCCACAATATGTTTCTTACGCTCCTCTTATTTCAAGTCCTTCAAGTTCAACAGCAGAAACTTCTATAGCAGCAAATTTATCTCATCAAGTTCATTCTACGATGCAAGCACATCCTCCATCAACTGTTAATCTTCAACAGTTGTCCCCACAATTTTTTCATCTCTATCCTCAACTTGTAATTCCATCATTTACACCTATTTCAGCAGATGTAAAGGTCGCTAAGGTCATTTCATCATCATCAGATGCACCATCTTCAACTAATGTAAAGGTTGCTAAAGTTCAAGTGAAGGACGTTTCATCATCATCAAATACATCATCATCAGCTATAAATAACGTTAAAGTCTTTTCATCATCATCAAATACATCATCATCAGCTATAAATAATGTTAAAGTCTTTTCATCATCATCAAATACACTATCTTCAATTGACGTAAAAGACGTTAATCTCGTTTTATCTACAGATAAGAAAATCCAGCGATTGGAGAGAAATCGTCTTGCAGCTAGAGAATGTAGAGAACGTAGAAAGGCATATATTATAAATTTGGAAAATAGAACAAGTAAATTAGAAGATGATAACTTGATTTTAAGATATCAAATTCAAGAATTAACCACTAAATTAGAATTGATGGAGTATATAAATCAAGATAATATCCGATTGGAAAATGAAGTTAGGGAATTAAAAAAAAGAATAATGGGACAAGCAAACAAATGTGCTAGAGTCATAAATGATGATGTTGTTATTATTGATGATGACTATGACTATGATGATGTTAGAATCGTGAAAACGGAATCAGAGGATCGTTAGTTCTGTAATACTAAAAGGTTTTACGTATTCGGCAAGGTTAATATAGCGCTTATTTTTCTGCATAATGGAATAATTAGGTTAGTTATTTTAACCGCAGGTTTCGTATGTACCTTGTGTTTTTTTATCGCAGTTATTCCTAATTACCAGGATTTTTTTTTTCTTGCAGGTATTATGGTATTATTGTAGATATTAATTATAGTATATATTTTTTTACATTGTACAACATATAACATATGGGAAACATTTATCATATAAATTATTTAGATCCATATTCATGTGAATTCAAAAGGATATGTCTATGTTAAATGCATATTAATTGTTAATAAAATTCTCTAAATTACGCTACAATGCATGTTTCACGTAAAATTCTTTTATTTATAAAATTGATAAATCAAAAAAATATTGTTAATATAAATATAATGTATCTATTTATAAATAAAATCTATCAGAATTTCCCTCACAAGACGTTAGGTACTTCCCCAGTTTCGATATATTTCAAAATTTCTTTATCACTAATTTTCCCATCCCAACCTTTTTTAGATTCTATCATATGATTTTCTATGATTTTAATCAAATTAAGAATCCCTCTATTATATTTCACGTCCACGCTTTTTTCATGTTGTACATCCTCTCTTTGATTATCTTTACTTCTAATTCTTTCACCTAGTTTAACGATTTCACCTTGTAAAAACTCAACTTCAGTTTTTCTCGCCGATTTAAAATCATAAACCATACTAGAATTAAGATTTCGCTTTTTCGTAATCAAAAAATGTTCTAAAGCCAAATCACTCACCCATTCTGGTACATAACCTAAACATTTTACCAAATTTTTCATTAATAAATTTTCACTAAAGGTAATTCCATTTAATCTATATACATTTAACCCCTCAAATATACATTTCTTATAAATTTCTCTAAAATTATTGTCTTGAAGGTATTCAACATAAGATAATCCACTTAACGCGAATAATGATGTATTTAAATTGATGAGTAATTTAAAATACATCAAATCTTCTATATCGTAAGAAATTACGCACGGTAATTCATTTTGTTCAAGTATTTTTTGAAAGTGTAAAGTCTCCGGAATAGATTCTAATACTATAGATCCTGAAGATGATGATTGTTGGATAAAGTGACATGAGGAATCATGAGTTACGGTCATGTCGTTTAATAAACCCCTTATAATTGTAGTATTTGGTAAAAATTGTTTAATTATTTCAGCATTATGAAAGCTATTTTGAATGGAAACAATCTATATTAAACGATGAAAGAAAGAAAGAAAGAAAGAAGAAATACGTAAGTATACATATAAAAGAAAAAAAAAATATAATATGTGAAACGAGAAAATAAATTTCGTTTACCGTAGTTTTACCATCCAAATCCTTTAATTCATTAAATACATCAGAAATTTGATTGGATTTCAATGTTACGATGACATAATCAGGATTAAATTTAATTAATTCTTTTAAATCAGTTTCATAAAAAATTTCATCCCTTAAAATAACAATTTTTTCTTCGTATTCATCTTTTTCGTCTTCAGCCTCAATCTTATCATTTTCTTTTAATAAATAATTATTTTCCTTAACGGTATCAATATCTGTAAAATTATTTAATTTAGTTAACGTTAATTTTTTGGATAAATTTAGTTCATCCAAAAGTCTTTGGCGTCCGACACAAAGAATTTTATTGTTATTATATGGATTATTAAATGCGTGATGATTGTTATGAATTAGATGAGATGCGATATAAAATCCTACATTTCCGCATCCCAATATCGCAATTGCTACCATTTTCTAGAAAAAAAAAATATTTTTTTTTTTGTGAAAAAAAAAAAAAAATAAATAAATAAATAAATAAAAAATAAATTCTTTCCTCTTCTTTAATTTTATTTATCTGTTTTTCTTTTATTGCATGTTCATAGATCATAAAAACGGAAAGTTCTATCATTCAAAAATTAATTCAACAAAAAAAAATTTTTCTTAAAAGAAAATATATAATAATGTCGGAAGAACATCTACCGAATATTCCACTCTTCCTATCGGATGCACAAAATTTGGAACAAGAAACATTATCAAATAAATTTACTAAATTAAATCAAGCGGAAATAGAAAGAATCAATCATTATAATGAATCATCTAGCCCGTTTAGTGCAAAAACCGCAATTAGTAAAATTTCAATGAAATTCAATAGATATTCAGATATCATACCATTTGATCGTAATCGTATTAAGTTGCATAGTAAGCGTAGTAGTAATAATACCGATTATATTAATGCAAGTTATATTGAAGCACCTCAAAAATTACGTAGATACATAGGAACTCAAGGTCCTTTGGAGAATACTATTGAGGATTTTTGGTGTATGGTTTGGGAACAACGTAGTCATGTTGTTGTGATGTTAACTAAAGAAAATGAAAAGGGTAGAGTTAAATGTACTAAATATTGGCCAGATTTAAATGGTAACCCGATGATTTTTCAAGAATTGGGACTCAAAGTTGAAATGGAATCTGAAGAATTAGAACCAAGTTCTTCTAGCTTAATTCGTACGTTTCGTTTAGAGAAGTCTAACTCTCATGTAAGCGTTATTAATGCTTCTCAAGGGATCATGGGAGATAATGTCGATATTAGAAAAGTAACACAATTACATTTTGTTGGATGGCCTGATCATGGTGTACCAGATTCACCTGAAATGATATTAAATTTAATTGGTAAAACAAATGAATTTCAACAAAAACATCAAAGTGAATTAAATGAGGAGATTGGACCTCCTATTATTCATTGTAGTGCGGGATGTGGTAGAACTGGTACATTTTGTACTATTGATAGTTGCCTGGCTATGTTACCGCTTCCTGGAGATGATCCTACTGATATAATTGAATATCTTGTGAATTATTTTAGAGAACAACGTAGAACCATGGTTCAAACTCTTGGACAATTTCAATATTGTTATTTGGCTGTTCTCAGTAAACTTGTTACAAGTAAGTAATAGAGTGAAAGGATAATGGTTGAAGATTTTGGGGGGGAATAAAATAATTGAGCGTGGGAAGGGAAATAATTTATTTTGTCTATTTATTAATGTTTATTTAATTTTTTTTTTTTTTATTCATGAAATGTATTAAGTGTGATTCAAAAATAAAAAAGAAAGAATTTTGGCCATTGAATTATGTCACGTTATTCTATGGTGTTTAGATATATAAGTTATATTAATAATCGTTAGTATTATCTAGATTTTTTAGGATAGTATTCGTGTATGTGGGTTTATTGCTAAAATCATAGATAGTAAAATTTTATTTTTACAAAAAATGTACGTGGAGTACCACGATATCAAATTTAATTATCAATATGACCATTACAAATTTTTTTTCTTTTTTGGAGTAGTTAATTTATTTTTTGGTGCAACAGTATAAAGGGGTAACTGTTAGTAATTACAATTAGACTGACTAAAGGAGAGGGTCGGCGACTTTGTTTGTAGTTGGAGAAGAACAACAAAGGTTTTGGTATAACAGGAGTGGCGAATGGGAGTTATAGAATTTTTCTTTGTATTATATTACAAATAAATTTAAATGGTTTACCAAAAAAAAAAAATTATTATTAATCGTTTTAACTAAACTACTAGTATTTGTTTTTATTAGCATCAGCGAATCAAGATATTATTAATTTAAAATGATAAGGTATACGCTGGATAAATGCAAATGATGAATCATCAAAGATATCGATAAACTAAAGCTGTCTGTACCAATATAGTCATCCAATTGAAATCTGTGATGACGTGACCAAACAGTTTCTATAAGATCGTACTATATATATATAGTAACCATTCAATCGTATGATACTAAAAGAAAATTACCTGTTGGTAAATAAAACACCATCGATCAGTGAAAAAATTATAATAATAACAGATAAAAGTAATTTGTTAAACGTGAAATCATATGTCTTCAACCATCATTTTTTTTCTAATTAATTGCCTTAACTATAATGTTCGCATGCAATTTCACCTTCTTATGGATGATTTATTGCGAATCTGAAATCTGATAGTCCATATATGTATATAAACATTTTATTCTTTTAAAAAAGATACATCATAAATTTTCAATAACCAGATGGTGATGGAGAATCTATCTTCTCACAAGTAAAAAAAAAAAATTGGATTACGCTGTTATTTTTTATGGTGGTTGCGTGCTCCTCTGGGAATTTCGATGAGTTTACGTTTTGAAACTAATTAATAATTTTTTTCCTTTAGGTTATTATGAAAGTCATGTACGCATAGAGCAATTACTGATTACTTTACTTTGCCATCATAATATGCGATCGATCTAGGTGAAAATTATATAAAAGATGGTGGTGGTGAATATCCTAAGGGCTCTGCAAGTACTGGGCATACAGCTATAGTAGTGATTTATTTCCCGACGCTATTTTCTGCATTCGTAACAATATTTGATTTCATTAGATCAATGGTTTAAAGTGGGTTAAAGTATGATGCGGGATATGTACCGAATTTCAAAAGTTTGATGGGTTTTATTACTGACAGAGGACTTTTTAATATTTACAGTATATAAAAATCAATGTATTGTACGTGTGATGCCTGAGATATTTGTTATATTGCGAAAATGGAAGCAGAGTGTCTTACATGAGGTAATGTGGCCTGAAAAACACGTATCAAGATTTAGATCGTTTGTTTAATTTGGTTGAGAAGTACATTGATTTTTGAAATTGATTTAAATGAAATATTTTTATTACCTACATGACTTCAAATATTCACAAGAGATTATGGCTGAAAAAAAAATATATAATTTCAGCTCTGAATAGACTATAATTTCAGCCGGGATATTATTATTCCAATAATTTTGTATTAATTCTAGTAGTTCCAACCTAAGTTAACCGTAATACGGATCGAAACACTACGATTTAAATTTTAATTTTGTAACGTGATCTTACTGATGTTAATAATTCTGTTAATTAATACAAGTTAGAATGTATCTAACAACAGTCGCGTTTTCGTTGTACATTATATAATATTGCGTATTGGTACTTATTTATTATACATAGCGATTGATTAATACACATCGCCATATCAATCGACTTAATTGGTCGATTTAGATTGATTGAAAATCAAACAATCATCAATTTTTGAAAATTATAGAACTGAAATTAATATTTCACTTTCCTGAGTTTTCAGATCTTAAAAATGCACGCAATTTCAGACCAATCAATATCAAATGTTGATCAATTTTAAAATTTTGGGATCGCTCTATCGTATTCGATTCGACTAAAAGTCTTAACTATAAATTGATGGTGCTGCTTTGTAATATAAATCATTTTTTTTGGTAATAAATACAAGTAATAATTAATTATAAAACAAAGTACATTACTTGCATATTTCTATTAATGTTCCTAAATAGCCGAATCTTACTTTAAATATCCTGAAATATATAATACCTTTCATAACTGAGTGTGGAAGCCATTGACAAAATGCAAATATTAACTGACTTAATTTAATATCTAATAAAGGTTTTGAATTGTTTTTTATAAAAAAAGAATTATTATAGTCATATTTAAATTAAGAATAATAAAATATTATATGTTGATAGCCAAAAAACGTAATAAAGATTATTAAATTTATAATTATTATATTTACATTTTAATTAATAACTTAATATAAATTCTTATTTAATCTTTATTTTAAGAATAGAATATTCTAATTTAAATCATTATTTATTGCTAAAAAAAAAAAAAAAATTTTATTATTTATAATTATACATTGATAAATTTTTTTGAGAATATAATTCTAACATATACTAATTAGATATACAAATCGTTGTATATCGTTGTAAATATAAAACATATATATAATTGATGAATATAAATTATAATAACAATTTTTCAAACAAATTTTTATTATTGTATTTTTATTTAAAAACAATTAAAAATGTATTATTTTACCAATTTGGATGATAATTCAAGTATCATGATTACTACAATTTCTAATATTATTAGAAAATATAATAAGAGAACAAGAAATAATCAAAAAGTATAAATATATCTATTACACCCAGATAAAACAGATTAATTATTTCTCATTCAATAAGTATAAAATATCATACAAATTTATTACTAGAGAATTGAAAAAGAATAAAAAGGAAGAATTCATTGGTAACAAAGATAAAATAAAATTAATAAAACCAATTAAACCCTAAAAATAAAATATTTTATTCTTATAATTATATTGTTGAATGTAAAAAAAAGTAATTTTTACAAAAATATTAATCATTTTTTTTTTTTTGGCTTTCCAAACACAATTTTAAAATCAAATAGAATTTTTGGCTTCTTAAAGATTCCAAATATATAGATAGAATGGCAATTAATAACTTAAAAAAATATTAAAGAATGTGGTAACGAAATGGTAGAGTCAACTTGGGAGCGAACAGCCATGCGGCTACACCGAGATTTACGATTTTGGTGCACCGCTCGGCAGTGTATTAATATTAAAAAGACCATTTGCTCTCACAACAAAAAAATATACAAATATTATTTTAAAAAGAATCTACACCTAATAATAATTATTTTAAACCTAGTTGTTTTTTACTAATCAGATGTTCAGAATGCATACATCTGGATGATTACTGATTAAAATAGCCTGAAGGCCAATATTTTCTTGCAAAAAAAAATATATACAAATATTAATTTAATCATAATTATTTTCAACTCAGATATTCAGAATGCATCTGGATGATTACTGATTAAATGGCCCGAAGGCTAATTTTTATAAAGAACAAAGCTATAATAGCCATAAGATAAAAAATTACTAAATTATAAATATGACATCCATTATAAGTTAAAAAAAAATTAAAAATATATAAAATACAATATTACAAAGTAATAGTCCTCAAACATATTCGCAATGAACTAAAGCAAATTATTACGTTATGGAGAGGATTGTTGCATGGACTTTCTTATACAATTTATACAATTTCACACAAAAAGATATTATAGTTAAAGCACCAAATAATTTTTTTGAATATCAATTATAATCAATGAATAATAGTATAATATAATGGATATTATTAAAAAAAAATAAAATAACTTTGGCGAACACCTAACAAAATTTATAAGTATAAAATGAGAGTTCTTAAAAACTATCAGCCCTATGAAGTAGGAAAGATTGTTTATCAAAAAGGTACTAGTCAAGTAACCATACTATAACAAATTTAAATCCATTATAATAAATTTAAATAAATCTTGTGAAATAAAAAATAATTGAATTTTACTAATAATCTTACTGCCTAATCAATTTCATTATGGCAAACTGATGAGCGCCAAATTATTTTATATAACAGTATTTTGAATTTTATTATTCATATTTCAGATTTAAAATTTTATTTTATTTTATGAAAAATAATGTAATTTAAACCATTTTTATTGAAATTTAAATAATGTAAAGATTTTTAAAATTAAATACTCCATACTCATAATTTAAAATAACAATTTTCATCAAAAATAACATGTATAAACCATATAGCAAAGTTATATAGTACAAAATACCAAACTATAAATCCACACAAAAAAAAAAAAATTGAACTTAGGAAAGAATTTTGGAATACATATGATAAGTATTAAACTACATTGCTTTAAAAAATAATTATATTTATTCAAAAACTTTAAACATGAGTTTATAATTATCTCATTTTTAAAAATTTGCCATGTCAAAAACATTGATGAAACCATAGACATATATTCATGATACAACATACTTATCAAGCTGGTCAAATAGAACATGCAATATTAAAAGAATATTTATTCTTTGATAACTTCCTCTTTAAATTGAGCATCACAATAATCAAATGCAATTAAATCTTCAGAATTCTTAATAAGTGAATTAGCTCCATGATGATATAAATATCTTGCACAATCTAAATGTTCTGAAATACAACCTAAAAAATATTTACCCAATTATTATTAATTTATTCGTGGAACATTATACATAAAACAATAGACATAAAAATAATAATCAATAATTATAAAATCTTTATAACATACTATAATGTAGAGGTGTTTCTTTTTCTTCGTCAGACTAATAGAAGCCATAAAATAAATGCATATAATAAACATACAATAATTAAATAACATTATAAATCTAATTGATAAATTGATAATTACCAATATATTTACATCTGCTCCTTTTTCAATCAATAATTTTACAATTTCCAAATAACCACGATCACTTGCCCAATGTAAAAGCGTTAATCCCTATAAAATAATTTAAAGAAACAATGAATTTTTCATAAAAAAAAAAAAAAAAAAATTTAGAAATTAAATTGTCATACTTGATCATCTTTTGCATTTACATCTATTTCACCTGAATCCAAAATTTTATTCACTGCTGCAGTGTCACCTTTCTTTGTACATGAAAAAATATCATTTCTAAAAATATAAGATTAAATTAATTCTTTTTTTTACTGGTAAAATCAAATTGGGATACAAACTCATCATCATCATCCTCTTCTTCTTCATAAGACATTGTAGAAACATATTTCATTCTTTCTTGTTGTGTATTCTCTTTATTCTTTAAATATTTTGACCAAGTTAATCCGAATAATCCAAATGAAATTTAAAAAAAACCTTCATCTTTTTTTATTACCTTTTCTTTAGTTTCATCTTCAATAGCAATATCATCCAATTGATCTCTATTCCAACCAACATTTGCTTTTTCAACAATTTCAACATACATTTGCATGGCTTCTTCAGTTGGAGTATTTTCAATTTCTTTCCATGCATCCCATTTAGCTCTTGCTCTAATTTCCCATAAAGATGGTTTTGCTGTATCAACTTTACCTGTTGTTACAACTTTATAATAACCATAAAGCTGTTTTTTTTTTTAAAAAAAAAAAAAAAATTATTATGTATAATAATATTAATAAAAAAGGATAATTTATTTTTACTTGCTTTAAGTTTAATCTCATTAGATAAATTAATTTCGGGATGATTATTAAGAAATGTATAGGCCGAAGTAAACTGTTCTTCTAATGGATCATCCATACTGAAAATTTAAAAAAGAAAAGTTTAGTTCGATGTTGATCCGTGAAAATTATTTATTATATTTATTAGTATATTAGTACCACCCAAATGATGTCACATGTCACGACATATTTTTGCGGGCGTTACAAATTAAACGTTTAACGATCAAAGGATAAGGATTTAATTACTTTCACTAAAATTTATATAACAAACACAAAAGCTTTCAAAATACATTATTTAGATATTTAGATATGATACATTTTTATGTCTCTACTCCGGCATTGTGCTCGTAATTACGCGAAGCAACTGAAAAATCCATTCTGTCCCAGCTATTAACTATTTATCGTTAATAACTGCTTACATTTGTTTAAAATCTCTAATAAAATATTGTTAAAAATTTGAGATGATCACCTTTATAATAAAATTTTATGACCTGTTTAACGAGAAAAGTTTCCGTATCCGTAAATTAAAAATTTTTGTGATATTGTGATTAAAAAAAAAAATTGTTTTTTGACGCATTATTATTCGTATGTCAAGTTCTACTATTTATTTTACTGTAATAACAATTTGACTGATTTATTAATTTCTTTGTATATAAAAATACTTTGTTTGGTAATCATAAATCACATTCAAATCATGAACAGTCATCAAGACAAAATAAGGTATGGTTTCGAGACATGATTATTAGATTTAATTTGAAATTGGCATTAACAAATATTTCGTAGGTATTAAAAAAAACTCGTAAAATAATAAATATATAAAATGATAAAAAATGACAAAATAAAAATTTTATTCAGTTTTATATCTTTTATCATGTTTTTACAAGCGTATAATTCACTATGGCGTAATAAATTTTTTTTTGTTTTAAGACAGGCAGAACGAAAAAAATTTTTTTTAAAAAAATATTTTTTTAAATAATATTCTTTTAAAGTAACATTATAACAATGTAAAAGAATTTTTTTTTCACGTTCTAGAATCAAATAAATAAACAGAAAAAATTAATATATATTGGGAAAAAGTGGAAAAGTACTGTAATACTGTATATTCGTTATTTTTTTCGTGAACTGTGATTTGCGGTACTCAGATTTTCGTGCCTAGCTGATTATATAAACACTATAAACGATTATACTATCGGATTTATAAATTTATAACTAGCGAATAAATTTCCATCCAGTATCCACGGTTAGATGATCCTATTAAGGCAAAGAAGTAGAAGTTTCTCCATAGTATACACAAGCTAATCAAGGCCAATATTATTTTGTAAATTTATTATATAATCTTTGTAGTTTAGAGAAGGCCGCCAGTATGCTGGTTATGGGTTGTTTTAGGAGATCCGAGTGATTTGGAAATAGATCAGAATCAGGATTTCTGGTTTCGTATTTATTGTTGAAGGTGTATAGTGACTTAGATTTTGTCTTATAAAAAAAAACCAAAATAGGTTCTTAATTCAAATTATTATTTCATGATTTTTTTTTGTTTTGTATGAAACATTCCGATTTTAAATCTGCTTTATAAAATAATAATAAAAAAAGGCAATTTTTATTAATTAAAAAAAAGTCATGTAGATACAACATTTTTTTGTGCGTGAAAAATTATAAAAGTATATATTAAAAAAAAGAAAAAATTGAAGACATCACCACTAAATAACTTGTAAGATATTCTCATAATATGGATCCTAATGATTCACTGGTTTTCTAGTTATAAATAAATAAAAAAAGCTAAAGTTCGGTCTATATTAAATTCACAATTTTTAATCACGTGATCTGTATCCTGAAAAGAATGAACGTTAAAAATCGTCTCTCATTTTAAAGTATAAAAATTTAATCATCCGTTCCAAAAGATGCTGAGACATAGAAGTAAAGTCAGGGAGGCATCCATGAAATGTTTTTTAAAGAAAAGATAAGTCTAGCCGAAACCTATAAAAAAAATTCAAAGTTCAATTCGCTATATCTAAAGAGAAACATCAAATTCAAGTCCGACCTAAAAATAAAAATTCGAAAATGATACCTACAAAATAGACAAAAAAGAAATGGTTAGTTTCTTCAAAACAAAATTAGAAAAAATTTTAAAGAGTTTGAATAAAATGAAACGTTTCAAAACTTACCGGTCATATCATTCAGGATCTGGGACTCAATCTACCGATACCTGCAAAAAAAAGAAATTTAATAAAAAAAACTTCTCATTAATTAATAATATAGGAGTTTGATCGCTGGAAAAAACCTATTTTGGGAATTTTTTTTTTTAGAAGCACGAGTAATTTATGTAATATGTAATTATTTAAGGCCACATCATCCTTTTTTATATAGATAATACATAAAAATTTATGGATTTTATATAAAGAAATAAATTTTATATTGCGGTATCACGATTTTTTGTAAATATTGAGTGACACGTAAAAAATTTTTTTATATGTGAAGAAAAAATATGTAGGGTAACACGTAATTTTTTTCTTTGTTTTTTTTTTGAATGAAAAAAAAAAANTAATTTATGTAATATGTAATTATTTAAGGCCACATCATCCTTTTTTATATAGATAATACATAAAAATTTATGGATTTTATATAAAGAAATAAATTTTATTGATCTATTAAGTGCATCATTGATTAATTTATTGTTACCATACGACATGATGAAATATTGTTATAAGGAAACTTAAAATTTCTTTTAATTTTTTTCTTTTTTTTTTTTTTGAATGAAAAAAAAAAAATATATAGCCCATGGAGGTAGGGTTCATGTAGATCAAAACCAAAAAGGAGCGTTTTGATGATCATTTACTTGGGGAGTTTATGGGGCACTTTTAACAATATATTTCAGAGAGTATGACAGATTACCGAATAGGAAAAGGCTGTTGTCTGTTTTTACTCTACGATAAATGAGTCATCATATTTAAAGTATATTCGGAGTATATCATGTGAGTCATGTGGATAAAATTTTTTTCTCACGATTAATACGCGTTCGTATGACCCACAAAACGTATAAATCTTATGTAATTCTTAGTTTGCTCTCGTTAAATTTTTCTTCTCCCTCTTTTATGAAAACTTTCTTTTATGAAACCTGTATATTTGTTTAATAAGAAAATATCGTTCAAAAGCTAAATATTTTGTAACGTTTATTTTATTATAGAAAAAGTTTTTTATTTATTTTATTATGTGAGGTTCCGGAGTGTGGGAGTGTCTCTCTGTCTAGGTCTTCGCTTTATTTTAGGCCCTTTTTCTTTTCGTCTCTCTTTAGGTATGTGGGTAGTGTGGGTGTGGGTGTGTGGGTTGGGAGTGCGTGTGGGTTGGGAGTGTGGGAGTGTGTGTGGGTTTGTGTATGTGGTGTTTCATTTTATTTTTTTTTTCGTCATCTTTTTTTAGGTTTACCCGTTTCTTTTCAATGCTAGGTATTTATTGTTGACCACTTTGATGGTTAAGTTTCACCTTAAGGGTGGTGTAAAACACCTTTCGTATGATATTTGCCCCTGTCCTGGGATACCTTCATTGGTATACCTAGGCAGGGGCTTATTTGCGTAATTATATTTACGTCTTAGTTTTTTAAAAATTTACACAGTTTAACATGCCAAAGGTACAAAGAAAAAGTTTCGCTGTTCGGATGAAGCAAGGAGTTAAGAAGGCTCGAAGGAAGCAAATTAGAAGATTACAGAACACTGTTCAGGATGGTACGACTGGTACGTATAGTGTTCATCGTTAAACGTATTTACGTTGACTGCAACCTGGTTATTAAAGGGGGTTACTTTATCAATGGTATCTTTACGTTGTTATCATGGTACCATGTAGGTCTTTGTACCTTGTAGTTATTACACACGTCAAACAACTCGTGATATTGTTGATGTACTTAGCTTTGCTAACCACCCTTCTTTATTTTATTTTAATATGGGCAGATGACCATAATGATGAGATTGTTAATCCTGACGAGGCTGGTCGTCAGGTTCTTGTAGAGGAAGGTACCTCTCAAATGGTGCAAGATAATAGAGCACCACGTTCTCAGTCACCACCACCACCTAATGAAGAGGCTATTCGTCAAGGTGCCATGGAATAATGGATTGGCAGAACTTAAATTGTTCTTGTTGCTGCTATAATAATAATAATTATTGGAATATATCAGGGCAGAGGTCTAGACGTCGTGGTAGACGATATTAAGGTTATTAGAGGATCATGGTGGCAGGTATACTTTGGATGCCTTATATGCAATATATTAGATCATGCATTTTTAGTACTAAGAGGTGAGGTATGTTCACCACCGTATTTTAGCCCCTCTATGGGAGTACTTGGTTTGATGGTCAATTGAGTCATTATTCTGGGTCCCTATAGAGAGGCTGTTTTGCGTAAGATAGTTTTAACCTTTTAATAAAATGCAAAAAGTTAGTTTTTATTCAGTTTATTACGATAGTATAGTAATGGTCATAGGGCAGCCATCCTTATGGTATATATGGATGGTGTGTACCATACCATAGACAGAGATATATTTTTGACACATAAGTTCATACTATGTTGAGGTAATACATCTCCGAGCACAGTAGTTATATTATAGTTATTTTACCAGTATTTCTTGTTTACTTCAAGCCTTTTTTGTTGGACTTGATATAAGGTCTATTGATTCCGAATGAGGTTTTAATTATGTACCTTCCTTATAACAACCTTCAAAAAAACTTGTTTGTGGCATGCAAATCTGGTAAAAAGTAATTTTTATAAATATTTTATAAATTTTTAAGATAATTATTTGTATGTTAGAAGTATACTTATCTTTTTATTTAATTTATATGATATTAGGTTAATCAAGAGCATCTACAACTACAATCCCAATTCCAGAATTTCTACTTATTAAATTAATGTAAAATAAAATGAAAATAAAAATAAAATTAAAATTAACATTATTAAATTTATTAAATTAAAAATCAAGATTTCCATTCTCAATGATAAAATCTTTTTCATCATCTGTTAAGAGATTATTACATATTATATACATGATATATTTATTAATTTATTTATTAAGTACTTTTCAAAAAGACACATATAAAGTATTGAGCAGCCTACAGGCTCTAGACTTATTCAAGATGGATAACGCCTATATTGCCTATATTAACCATAAAGTTTCAAATGTCTGTATCCCTAGGAGACTTTCAACAATGAATGGCGTTACTGATTATTAATTATAGAAAATATAGAAAATATGATATCTTGAAACATTATTGACGTGATACATATCTTAAAAAAAATGGAAAAATGGAAAAGTTCATGTTTTAATTGATTGTGTCAGTTATTATACGCCTAATAGAGAAATAAATTTATTTTATAAGACGTGCGAAAAATTAGTGAAACATTTTTATTTTTTACATACTGTGTATTATGAAAAAACCCTTTTTACCGTATTAGAAAAAAAAAAAGAAATATTCATACTTTTTTTTTAAAAAAAAGGTTTTAATGCAAAAAAAAAAGAATTTTTTTCGTAAAAATATCATATTTATTAAAAGTTAAAACGATCGACTTGATGGAGACGTGTACATTGTATTTCGTTATTGAATGTAATTGAATCCAGAAAGTATTTGAGGGATAATGTATTTATGTAGAAAATGGTACGACCAAATATAATTAAACTATACAAAATATTTTTTGATTAATTGTTTAATTTTACATTTTACTAAGTATATTTGATTTTAATTTTAGAACATAATATAGCAGAAATTATTTACAATTTGGACTATGCAATTTAATTTATTTATGTAACTAGCAATTTTATTAATATACGCTTTCAGGAGAAATAGATAAAATTAAAAATATAATAAAATTATTGACTTATCAATCATATTGACCTGAATTTAACTTGGAATACCTATAAATTAAAGAGCACTGATGTATGAGTAACACAGGTCACTGTAACGTTTAATTAGCAAAAGGAAATTTATAAATAGTCTATCAAGAAAACAAATAAGATTTAACGTCACCCTTATTAGGGACCACCAATCAGGTACTAACCACCCCACTTAACATAATTTCCTCCAATTTCTGATAAAGTATGCGTATTGCGATTGTATTTTATATTTGGCAATTTCAATGACTTTTTTGAGGATCCTTATCATAGTCCTGCCATGTAAGAGAAGATTTTGCGGCATTAAATTATAATGATTGATTTTTTTTAGTAAAAACATTTTGTCAAAAGATTTTCAAAGTCCCAATTTCATCCAAAAAATTACTCATTCAAATTTTTTATAAGTATTAATTAATAAATAGTAATTACAAAATTTGACGTTCAATTAAAAATTTAAAAGTATTAAAACATATTGTTATTTTCAAATACATAAAATCAAATATTTAAACATTAAATTTTTATGTTGGTAAAGCAAACAAATAAAATAGTGAAATTAATTACATGTGCTTATAAACTAAAAAATACCGTCAGAGTTTATGTTCAAAAAAGAAAAATATTATAAACCAGTTTATGCTTATCTTGTGGATCGGCAATATAAGGTACCGGGCAATACAGAATTTGTATGAAAGGAAGACGTAAAGAAAGAAGAGAAGACCTAGATGGAGAGAAGATAAACCTAAAAAAAAATGATGACGAAAAAAAATAAAATGAAAAACCACATAAAAAAACCCACACACACTCCCACACTCCCAACCCACACTCCCACACCCACCCACACTCCCAACACGCACTCCCAACCCACACTCCCACATACCTAAAGAGAGACGAAAAGAAAAAGGGCCTANTTTTTCAAAAAAAATTATATATATATATATATTTTTTTTCATTTTTAAATTTTTTTTTTTTAAAAAAAATATTTATGATGTTAATAAGATCATTAAAATGGTTTTTGTTATGGTGGATGATACTTCAAATAATATTTGAAGTAGTAAAATCACAAGTTAAATCACTTCAACCACAAGAAAGAATATCTCATACCTGTCTCTTATACACATCTAGATGTGTATAAGAGACAGCTCCCAACCCACACTCACACTCCCACACCCACCCGCATTCCCACACCCACACTCCCACACCCACCCGCACTCCCAACCCACACTACCCACATACCTAAAGAGAGACGTAAAGAAAAAGGGCCTAAAAGGAGCTCTAATAAAGAGAAGAGAGAAGGTAAACCTAAAAAAAGATGACGAAAAAAAAAAAAATTAAACACCACATATACACACAAACCCACACTCCCAACCCATACTACTCACATACCTAAAGAGAGACGTAAAGAAAAAAGGGCCTAAAAGGAGATCTAATAAAGAGAAGACCTAGACAGAGAGAAGGTAAACCTAAAAAAAGATGACGAAAAAAAAATGAAACACCACATACACAAACCAACACACACTCCCACACTCCCAACCCACACTACACCCACTCCCAACCCACACTACCCACATACCTAAAGAGAGACGAAAAGAAAAAAGGGCCTAAAAGGAGATCTAATAAAAGTGTTTGAAACGCCAAAAAGAATAAGAAAACTATGAAGAAGATAGGTTACTACCGCACTAAAGTGTGTGAGTGAGGTTTCTTATATATAAACAAAATAAAGTTAAAAATATAATAATTTTTAAAAAAGAAACTTTTTGAAAAATATCCTACGCGTAGTGTTTGAAACGCCAAAAAGGATAAGAAAACCACGAAGAAGATGGGTAACTATGTGAAAAAAATAAGTTTTTGTTCGAGCTTTCTTTCCTTTTTTTGAAAAAAAAGAAACATTATTGGAAGAGAAGGATATTTTTTAAAAAAAATTTTCGGATGGAGAGGTATTTTATATAAAAAAAATTGTCATACAAAATTTTTTTTTCCCACGGAGTTTGCGAGTTTGCTATAGTCAGAGCCAAAAATCGCGTCATGATCAAACAAAACAATAGTAATCTGTAAGAGATGACTCATGATTATTGATATTATTGATCATGTGATCATGTGATGAAAAATAAGCTTCGATATATTGGATCATGCATAAAATTTTGAAGGTCCGCTTATAAGGTTTATAAAGTAAATCTAGTTGTTATTATGAGACTTATGAGACGCGATTTGTATATTATAAATATTATAGCGATATGGCTTTTATGGCTTTTATTTTATTTTAACCTTTACGCCGCAGCTCCTGATCGTCAGTTTATTTGAATGATAAGATAATGTAATAAAATAATTTTATGAATTAATATTTTCTTTTTTTTTTATAAACAGATGTTAGTGATAGTGTACTCGGAATAAAACAATATTATTTCTTTATTAAAATTTTAATATTTTCCGATAATTACATTTTTTTTTGTGTCGCGATGATATCACGTGATAGAATATTACAAAAGCTATTACTAATGTGTTACTTAAAAAAATTAGGGGTATGTTTACGTAATATTTTTTTTTTGGCGGGTATTATATAATAAATTACTGAATGATCTACTTTACCTTTTATAAATAATTAATTAAGAACTTATATTTATTAATTAGTTTCACAAAGTAATATTTAATATTTTATATAAAAATATATCTTTCATTGATCGTAAAAAAAAAGACATGGCGTTCATGCGTTTCGGAAAAACGTCAGGAAACGTAGAAAATATTCGGAATATTATCGGAATATCATAACGTTTATAAACATGAATCATCACATACTCCGAAAGTTTTCCGGATAACACCCGAACATTTTAAAAATCTCGGACTTTTTTTTCATAGGAAAAAAAAATATTGACGTCATTTTTTTTGTCATTTTTTTTTAAAAAAAATAATAAAATTTCGAATTTTTTAGATAAATATTTTGAATTTCACCCGCTTATATCATGTTATCATGTTACATTATTTATTTAATACTCGGTATTCGGTAAGTAGCTTCTGCGTAATGATCTACAGTACTTTTTATAATATCAAAATGAAAAAGTAAAACCAAAGTACCAAAGTTAACCATTGCGCGTTATGATTATTTTAATAAAACAATTTTCAGTCATTATTTCAAATAATTTATTATATGCCAAGAAAAATCTTTCGTTTCATATTTTAAAACATTTATTTTATTATAGAATAAATCGACCATTTTATATTTTGACCCTGCATATTTTAAAAAAAATTAAACCCCCTCTTCTTATTTGTAAAATTATTTGTTTATTTTATTATATTTTTTTTTCTTAGGTGATTGCATATTTATCACATAATTTGTATAAGATTTTGTAATTGTATTACTACTTAATAGAGATATAATGCATATATATTTGCGAAACAAATAAATTCAATCCGTAACACAATTAGTATATTAATAACCTTTTCAATACATACATAACCTTTTTTTTTTTCTTCTAATTTTTCAAAAAAAATTATATATATATATATATTTTTTTTCATTTTTAAATTTTTTTTTTTTAAAAAAAATATTTATGATGTTAATAAGATCATTAAAATGGTTTTTGTTATGGTGGATGATACTTCAAATAATATTTGAAGTAGTAAAATCACAAGTTAAATCACTTCAACCACAAGAAAGAATATCTCATACAGCAACATATATTAATAATAAATTATATATATTAGGAGGAGAAAGTATAACAACAAATCCAACAACAAATGAAATTGCTTTAAAAGAATTTTTTTATCTTGATTGTTCAAAATCATTTGATACAACAAATTTATCATGGGAATTTTTATCAAATATTCAAGTACCAACTCGTTGGTCTGCTGCATCAGCTAAAGGAGGAATAAATAATGATACAATATTTATATATGGAGGTTTTTCAAATGATGAAAATGATTTAAATTTAGTTTATACATATAATACAAAAAGTGATACATGGATTATTCCTAAAATTTTAAATAATTTTAATATTACAAGTAAAAAAAATTTAGAAGCTATTATTAATTATAATGATGGTAAAATTTATTTATTTGGTGGAACTTCTGATGAACTTGGTATATCAAATGATATGGTTATATTAGATACGATAAATTTAGTTTATAATATAGGAAATTTAACTAATGCTCCAACTCCTAGATTTTATTATGGTGCTACTTTATTACCAAATCAAAATATAATCTATTTTGGTAAGTATATATATATATATATAAAATTATTATTATAAATTTTTATTATTTATTATTTTATCTTTGATCTTTAATATTTATTCAGTTTTATTACTTTAGGTGGTAATGATGGTAAAGAAGCTCTCGATTTAGACGTGGTATATTCATACGATACGATTAATAATATATGGAATACAAACGTAAGTTATTACGAACGTTATAAATAAATGTTCACATATTACATACATTAATATATGTATATTCCATTTGTAATACAGAAAGTTACAGGATTAATACCATCGAAAAGATATTTATTTTCTACAGTACTTGGTAAGTATTAAAAGAGTTAGGTTTTTAATTTTTATTTTATTTCGTTTACTAATACATCTCCAATTAGGATCGGACGGAAGGGGAATTATAATATTCGGAGGATTTAATGTTGTAAACACGGATTCACTTTATATATTAGATACTATAAATTTAGAATGGTACGTACCGAATGTTACTGGTCAATTACCAGCAAATCGATATAATCATAAAGCGAATGTAATCGGAAATTTTATGGTCGTATCTTTTGGTAAATATGATATTTTACATATCGTCATTATTATTTATTTTGTTCATATATATTAACAATTATTTTTAGGATATGGTTATCAACAAGAAAAAGAAAGTGATATTTTATTACTTAATATGACAAATGAAAAATATGAATGGTCCATAGTATTTAAACCTTTAAATGATACATTGCCACTACCTTCAACTTCAATTTCATTACCTCCAACAATGACACAAACAAGTTCACCAACAATTTCATCAGAACCACAATCAAATATATCATCAACGACTATTAAACCAATTATAATTGCCGGAGTTTTGGTAGGAATTTTATTTATTATATTAGGTTATTTATTTTTATAAAAAACTTTTGATGTTACGGAAACCAATTTCCAATGTGACGGAAACCAACTTCCAATGTGACGGAAACCGACTTCCGATGTGATGGAAACTGACTTCCGATGTGACGAAAAAAAANAGACAAAAAATTAGAATTCAATCAAAAAAAAAAAAAAAAAAAAAAAAAATACTTATATGTTTTATTAAATAATAAAATTACATCCAAAAAAAAAATTTTAAACTGAACTCAATTCGAAAATTCATGTAATACTACGCCAAAAATTTGTTGTACGCATGAACCGTAGTCATTGTGATGACGTTGCACAAAGTTCTCAAATAATATTGTACTACATTACTTTCTGTATTATTTATTTATGTATTTTCGAGTCATCTGATCTTTACATAATTTGCGCAGCAATGCCAAAAATTCACATAGTTAAAAGTTATTTGGAAATTATATGCATATCTTTATGTACCAATCGGAAAACTCGAAATAATTATAGGCCGAAGATCACATAATAAGATTACCGATTTATTTATGTAATACTATGATGTATATTGTATGCAAAGTGTTTGTTAACTACGGATATTTTTATCATAGTATCTTTTTTTTTTTTCTTTTTTTATTCTAGTTTCAAAATAAAAAGAACAAAAGAGATATTTTTGATTATTATAATTACCATGTTTGGTATAAAACTTTTATTATCGATGTACTACTATACAAATTACCAATAAGTTTCAATAAGTTTTTTTTTGCGTTGGTAACTTTTTAAAACTCAAAAACAAATACCTTATTGGCATTTTCCAGACTTGTCTTATAATATATTATATATATATCAGTAGAATTTAATAGTAATCGTTTAAATAAATTTTACGATCATCGTAATTTTTGTACTTTTACAACATATCTTTTTTTTTTTCTAGAAAAATATTTTCTGATCGTAGAACGGCAAAAGTACCAAAACTTTTAGCGTAAAAAAAATTCCTTTTGTAAGGAAAAAGAAATTTTAAATGTTTATATCGGATCCGATATTAAAAAGAGCATGTGCGATATACTTGTATCTCGTATAGGGCCAACATGTATATAAAAAATATTATTTTTGTATCTCAAAGCCTTAAAGGTTGAAACATATTAATGAATTTTTTTCAAAAAAAAAAAAAATAAATAAAATTTTGATTTTCAATAAAAAAAAACGAGATATAAAAAAAAAATTGGGAAAAATAATTTTCTGTATCGATATATTTATCGATATACATGATATAGATCATGACTCATGATTACGTTTTAAGTTAGGTTTAATGTCTTTTAAGTTTTAACGAATTTTATTCTAATAATTGCTAAATATATCGATACTCTTGTAAAATTTGGTATCCTTTTATAACTTTTGAGATGTTACAGCATTTTACACAAATTTCTTTAATGAATTTAATGGATTAACGTCATATTTATCTATATCCCGCTTAAAAAAAAAAAAATTTTTTTTACTTTTTGCTCCTTACAAGGGTCGAACTTGTGACCTTCGCGTTAGAACTTTGATCAAGTTCTATTAGCACGACGCTCTAACCAACTGAGCTAAAGGAGCATGATTTCTTATACAACAGTTATAAAATATACATATAAAGATTCTACGCTTCCTTTATATATAGTACTAATAATTTTATGTAAGAATTATTCGTTCAATATTATGTATGATGAATTTAATGGAAACGAACCGAACAAAAAAATTTCCAATATGATAATCTCTCCTCATCAAAACAATTTTTTTTCCTAAAACTACCAACAACGACCCTTACAAAACCTCTATTGTTCAATTTCACCAGCTTTTGTGATTTCCGGAAAATGAAATTGCAAAATGAATATGATCAAAGATGACACACTCTAAGTGACATTAATAACCCTGTAAAAAAAGTCCCCGTTTTTTATATTCCATCCTTTTTCCGTAAAAGGCTCATATTTCCGGACTTAATAATCTTATATCACGGAATTTATCGAATTATTTAAATTTTCTGTGAATGGATCCGTGAAAGGCTCATTTTACGGAGTTTTTACAGAAATAACGGATAAAATTTTTTTTTAGGGAAAGAAAAATATTTTCGAACGGGAAACATACAAATTATTATTAACATCAAAGATTAGACCTCTCTAGCATCAAATTTCGGCGCTTTCCTTTATCATCATTAACTGGAGCATCAACGTGCGCGGTGGCATAAAAATGTAAAGAGTTGAGTGCATCCACTTGCGATTATTCTCAAGTATTTCTCAAATTAAATAATCCTTTTTAATCGATATTCAAAGAATTTAAACTTCAGATACTGAAATTTCCACTTAAGAAAAAATTTATACAAATCACGTGATATTGATTTTATAGTATATAAAATTGTGAAACGCTCCCCGTGATTTGCGTCAATGGAGATCTGTCAATCTGTACAGCTCTGGATGCCTTTTTATTAAATTTTATATCTTTATATATTTTTTTCCTTTTTAACGTATGTGGGTTTTTTGCATTTATTTTTATCGTTGAAAATATTTATGCATATAATTTTATTCAATATTATTAAAAATTTAAACAAATATGCGGTATATATTGCAGAATGTGATACGAATCTATTTTTGGGATAAACAATGGCCCACTAGCCTATTTTAAGGTATACAATGACTCACTATACCAATTCAAAATTGTTTAATCGGTCTTTTTGATCACGAATTTTATTGGTTGTTGTAATCCGATCAGATGGAACCACAGGTTGGTTTTAGTTGATCGAAAATTCTCAATCGAAACAATTCAAAATCATTATCTTTTACATATTGTCCTTATTAATATTACAATATGAATATTATGTTAATTAACTTAAATTAAAAAAAAATTGATTATTAACTACAAATGGACAATGAAAATCACCTTTAAACTCTTTAATTGTTTAGTTTGAATACGTTTTTAATTAAATCTGTAAATTTTCTTAAAAGATTTATTTACACGAAATATAAATTGTGGAATATTCTTTGAATCATTCTTTGAATTTAAATGTAAAAGAAAGAGCTTTCAAATTTTGTTATAAATATACCCTCAATTCAACACGACTTAACCACGATCAAAAAATATTTCTTCATAAAAAAATCAATAAGGTTAACAAAAAAACCTTAATTCCACACTCATTTCTTCGTACAAAATCAAAAGTTAACAGAAAAATCAAAATGAAATTCAAGCTTTTCTACCTTTTCTTCATCTTGGCCATTTTTGCTGCTGCTACTTTTGCACTTGACGATCATTTGGTAAAACGTCAAGAGAAAGATGAAAAAGGAGATGTTGAAGCAAAACTTTTGCCCGCTATTATTATCAATCTTGCTAGAAGATTTGGCGCTTCTCTTGTTGCAAAGTGTCGCGCTAACTCTTGTCGTGGTAGATGTCCTAATGTACTTTGCAAAGCTCCTACTTTGTCTTGTTGTAACCTGGCATGCAAAATCGGAATTGGTGCTCGCATTCCTCGTGTCGGCGGTCGGTGTTAAATAATGAAGACCCCTTGGAGAATTCACATATTTAATTATATACTTTAAATATTAGAAGGTTAAAGATGACTTTCTTTTTTCGATTTTTTTTGTTAATCTCAATAATATAACTTTAGTCTAGACTTTAGCAACCATTTAGACTTTTATATAATTATAATTTGTTTCTAGTAAATTTATCAGTTTTATTATTTATGTATCCCTAGATTATTTACGTGATATAAATCATATTAATAAATAAATATTTATTTATACTAATAATATTATTACCATAAAATTTTAATGTTCTCAAAGAAAATATTTGTTTATTTATTAAAAATTTTAAATTTATATTAAAATATCTGTAGGTTCATCTATCGAAGACATTTTTTTTTCTTTCTAATGAATGGAAGAAAGAAAATTCATGTGAATTTACTTTTTTTTTAATTTTTTCTTCTTCGCTTTCAATTCACATGAATGTACTGTACTAATGAATGTAATGAATATCCTAATACTACTTCGGCTGTGTTTCTCGAAATTTTGTACTTTCAGAATTTTCACATTCGAGATTAGTAGTTCATTATAATTACTTAAACTCAAATAAAACATCTCGTAATGACTAATTTTATTGTTTTTTTTTTTTTTTTTTTTNTTTTTTTTTTGCTCACAAATTTCACAGCGATATCTTAAACTCAGCCCTAAAAGCCATATCATTTCATGCTTCGCCATAATTCATTATTTCCTTATGCGAACGGACACGGTCGTCATAATAAATTTATTTTTTGATTATATCGACATGTTTTGGGCGGTTTTTTTGTACAACGGGTTTATATATATATATTAAACCTCAAGATGGTATCTAAGCCGCTTTGACGATTTCGTATTATAAATTACAAAAAAACTTCAAAAAAACTATTTATAAATGTGTTCTAAAGGAGGGCAGTGAGGTGTCATAATCTAAATCTAAATAGTAATCCAAGTAGTAATCGAACACTATTCCTCTACGGAGGTTTAAAGATAAATCTTAATCGATTAGCTACTCTAAGAATTAAATTTATTGCTAATTTTTTTTCTAATTCGTCCAAGCAGATCCATAAAAGCCAGATTAAGAAAAACATACGACTTATTTTTTAAAAAATTAGTATAATTCTCTTATATGACATGTAGTAAGTTATATGCACCTCTCATAAAATATGGATTAAGCCATTTGTATCATATATTTCATTATTTAATCCGCAAAAATTTTGGCTTAACAAGTTGTGGGACTAAGTTCTGTGTATTGTTGACAACTAATTTGTATCAGAGGCGTGTAACATTAATTTAATAATGGTACTTGTGATTTTCTGCGGTGACACAATGTCAATTCTGTCTTAAAAAATAATTCTGCGGTTTGGCAAGAATTACGTAAAATCAGCCATTCACTAAAAATAATGTCAGCCAGCATTACGCGAAAATTTAAAATAGTCACTGCCGATTCTGTGAAACGCAGTCCCTGCATTGTGATTAAGGGTAGTCTGAAAAACTTGCATATCGACCAATATAAACAGTTGCTACCCTATAAAAAATTTTATCCGTTATTTCTGTAAAAACTCCGTGAAAATGAGCCTTTCACGGATCCATTCACGGAAAATGTAAATAATTCGATAAATTCCGTGATATAAAGTTATTAATTCCGGAAATATGATTTTTACGGAAAAAAATATGGAATAAAAAAAAGGATTGACTTTTTTTTACAGGGCTATAGTTAAGATTTGTAACTAGTGCATTATTACTCCCCAAACAGGTATATATATTCCGGCTATTTTAAAGTTCTTTAAACTACAAGTTAATTTTTGGGAATGAAAGGAATGCCTAGAGGGTATTGCTTTGTAACGTAAACGACGGTAGCTCTCTTGAGTATTCTATACTCAGAACACGAACCAGAAAAAAAACAGTTTTAATTGAAACAACTATTAAACGTAGTATTTACTTTTTTTACTAATAATGTAGAAAGTGACAAAGTTATTGTAGAGATTAATGGAGTTAAATCAGAAATCAACGAAATGAAAATCGAAGTCCAGACACGATATTAGATATCATTCAAAAAGACGTAATATAACGAACTGTTATTAATTTCTTATCAATTACGTAACCGTGTTGTTTTTTCCGAATAATGAATGCATTCCACTAATATTATTTAATATGTTGCGTATTTTGTTATTCGTAATTAACTCAATATTTCGTGTTATTCCGGTATTATAATATCATCAACAAAATTTCGTTGAAAAAGAAATGGTGGACTCACGTTGTAAACAATTGATCTTAATTCGGGAATTTGTTATCAATGTGTATAATATTATGTATCTGAAGAACATAACAAAATATCAGAACATAAGTTAACGGAAACGGACAGATTATTTGGAAGTTACAATACACTTTATCTATAAATTCCGAATTAAGTACCATTCGTTATTGATGTATAGAAAAACAGAACCCACAGATATCCAATGTTGCATAACACCATTGTAAAGTAATTTTTTTACGTTATTGTATCATGTATTGGTAATAGGAGCGCTTAAAGGGTCATATACGGAACGTACAGTATAATATAATATATACGAGTTTGTTACTTTCAGATTCCAATTTTTCTACACATGGAACGAATTTATCTAATTCTTAATACAATGTCCGCTACATAGAAGTTTACAATCCCAATTCATTTTGTGTTATCATTGGTATCGAAAACTATATATTTTTTGCATTATCAATGAGGTCCATTTATGGCACACAAAAGGTAAAGGAAAAAAGATCATGTTTTATTTAGCATGTATTAGTGCATAATATACATACAAATATGCGGGATAAAACAATTCATGTGAATACAAAAAATATATATATACCTTTTTTTTTTTGTTATGCATCAATATACAGTTTTTTAGATTATGCAATTTCGCTTGTGGATCTTTCGTTTGTAATATATGACGGCATAATTTAGAAGGCACACAATACGACTGCGGAGAAGATTATTAGTGGACGACGTGTTCCACGAAACTCGCATACACACGTAGTACAATTTACCCTATGGGCTGGAGATTAAAATTAGTTATAGTGAGAAGTTCACTACAACAATGAGACCGTGACCCATGGGTCACAGTTGTTTACAATAGAGAGTGAATTTGGTCTTCGACTCAGTCGACATATTGTGTTTCCGATATTTTTTTACTTAGGCCGTTCCAACTTGATTGTTTGTTTAACGTCTAGATTTTCTGAAAAGGTTGAGGGAGGAGGTTTTTCATTAAACAAACTAAAATGTAATAAACCTTTGAAAAATTCGGGAAATTTCGGAAGATTCAGAAACCTGTAATTTAAATTTAAGGGGCATTTAAAACATATATGTTTATCAACATTTAGATTTTAAAAAAAAATTGAGGGGATAGGCACGTTAAACAAACAAGTTGAAACGGCCTTAGTTTTAGCTAATTATAAAAAAAATTTTTTTTTTTTTTTTTGTGCCCTACTTTCAAAAATAGTTACATGTTTCAAATAAATCTTTTTTTGTATTAATTTAGAATTTTTTTGGTTTATTCTCATTTCCTTATTTGTAAACATAAAAAATTTGGAATAAGGTAAATTCTAATTTATAATTTTTTTGGTTTATTCTTATTTCCTTATTTGTAAATATAAAAAAAATTGGCATAAGGTTAATTTTATTATATAATTTGCGAAAGTTAAATGAAATGAACAATTTAGATGTCATTGTAAGCATAATGTAATTATGTACGACGTTATTAAATAAAAAACAAACATAAATATACTAATTTTTCTTTGTTTTGAAAATAATTAATTTTGAACCTGCATTGTGAATCTTTATTTTTTTTCGTGTGTCATATTTTTTTTTATTTATTTGTTTATTTTTTTTCTCTTTTTTTCGTTTTCCTTTTTGCTTCACTTTTCGCTTCCCTTTTGCTTCCCTTTTTGCTTCCCTTTTTTTCGTTTCCATTTTTTTTCTTCGCTTCCCTTTTGTTTCACTTTCTTTTATTTCTCTTTTCTTTTATTTCGCTCCCTTTTTCGCTTTTCGTTTCCCTTTTATTTCGTTTCCCCCTTTTCTTGCCTTCCTTTTTTTTTTTGCTCGTTCGATTTTTTCAAAAAAAAAAAAACTTTTAAAATAATTCGATAATAATGAAGGAAATTAATTTTGATTGTTTAATACATATTATTAATGAACTACGAAATGATAAGAAAACATTATACACATGTCTTTTGATCAATAAAATCTGGAGTAATATCGTAATACCAATATTATGGAAGTATCATTCATGGAATATTTATAATAATGAATCAAAAATAAAACTTTATAATATAATATTATCATTTTTATCATTAAAAACAAGAAATAATTTATTAAATAATGAAATTAAATTACCTTCTTCAATATTAAAATTAAAAACTCCATTATTTAATTATTTAAATTATTGTGAATTTCCTGAACCTGAAGATATTAAAGATATTATTATAAGAATGATTTTAAGTAATAAAATTATTATTAATAATGATGATGATAAAAAATATTATTTATTAGAACAAGAAATTTATAAATTATTCGTTAATAATTGTAAAGATATTAAAAATTTAATATGGAAAACTTATCAACCTTTATCATTATTTCCTGGAGCTATAAATTGTTTTTCTAAACTTTATAGTTTATCTATTGATCCTGATAATATAAATTCTAATTCTATTTATGAAATGTCAAAAATTTGTAAAAATTTAAATATATTATCAATTTATAATTGTTCAAAGGATCATCATGGATTAATTTCTTTGATTGACGTTCAAAAAAATTTAGAAAAATTAAATATTTATCATAATGATATTAATAAGAAAGGAAATTGTCAAGAATTAAGTAAAGCATTAGCAAGAAAAGGTGATACTATAAATGAAATTCATTTAGATTTATTTAATAATATTCCTTCTTCATTTATGATTTCTTTAAATAATTTAAAACGTATTGATATTTTTAATCAAGATATAAGAGAGGAGGAGATTAATATTAATGAATTTCAACAATATCTTGCAATTTCAAAATTTCCTAAATTGGAATTTTTTAATGTTAAAGGACTTTTATGCTTTAAAGAATTTTCACTATTAATTAAAGGGACAAGAGGAAATCTTTCACATCTTTTAATTGATATTAAAACGGATGAATTTATTATTAAAAATACTGGAATGTTAATTAATGAAATTTCTAATAATTGTCCAAATATTAAAATATTATATACTTTTATTGAATCAAAAGATTTTATTCATATAAAATCTTTATTATTAAATTGTAAAAAATTACAAGATATAAGATTTTATAATTTAAATAATTTTATTGAAGATTATTATCATAATGATAATATAGGTGATGAATTATTAAATATTTTATCAAATAATAATAATGATTTATTTTCTTTAAATCATCTTTTTATTAGTGAAGATTGGGGTTATTCTATTGATGCTCTTGAAAGATTTTTTCAAAGTTTTAAAGAAAAAAATTTGATTTCTTTTAATATTATACATAATAGAAATTTTTATATTACTGATGATCATAAAGAAATTATTAGAAAATATATTAATGAAGGTGTAATCCGTTATTCCAATTATATGTAATATCTTCGTTTTTTTTTTGGTTTTACGATAAACGAAAATATATTGATACTGGATCACGGGAACATATATCGATATACGTAATTATGGTCACGTGGAAATTTATTTTTTACATACAAAATCATTCATTTGATCATTTCTTTATTCGATGAAATTAGCAGAATTATTAGTATTATCATACGTTATTATGGATTAATATTTTCATTCCGGACTAATAATTGCAACAATAGCTCCATTTTTTTTACGCTTCGGCCTGTCATTTTCGAAAGTTATATAATAGTCATATACGAAATTACGAATAATACCCATAAAAATGTATAATATTATTTATATACGAAATATTTTACTATTTTACTATTTAAGGAAATACTTTTTCTCTTGAAAAAATATGTTATTTAATAAAAAAAAAATTCATATTCTTTAGTTCAAACCAAGATTTTGACATGATCTGATCTTATAGCTAACAATATATCCAAAGTTATTTGTTTCCTTTTTTTTGGTTTTTTACAGTATCTTATAAATAATGTCATATAAATTATGGTATACCGCCAATTATAAAAATAAAATTAATCTCGTGTTATAAGAAAGTCCACCTTCACTTAAAACCATTCACCAGCCAGTAACCATAAAGTTTAAATTATATTATCTTTCAAATCAGTATATTAAACCATATTAAACCAGTTTGGACAGTTGTTTGAAGCTAGTTGTAGTACTGTGTCATAAACAAATTTACAAAAATATTTATTTAGGCTATGTCATAGGAACCAATAAAATTTTCGAAAAATCAACTTTCAAAAGCCAAAAATTAATTAAAATCACAAAAATTTAATAAATTATGTACGTGGAAAAATATTATTGGTTCATAACATGTTATTAAATATTAAAAGCCTCATCAATTCTTAGCCTCATTTATTTATTTGTTTATTTATTTTTTTTTTCTTATTATTTATTGTTTGACTTTTATAGCAAAATATTGTTACTTTTTCTCTGATACAAGATAAGACTTTAGAATTATCTTTTTATTAATATACTTTGAAATGAAAAAATTTTTATTATTTACTATATTAGTAATATTTTATCATAAGTTTAATATATACATACAGTATATACTTTTTTTTTTTTTTTAATGATAAACGATTCCCCTAAATTCGTTCGTTATATGGAGTTATGAAACAATAATACAGTATTTCAAATATTCTAATAGATATTCATTATGTGCAGTATACTTTTGAATAATGATTTATTATATGGTAAAGCCATCCATAATATTTACAAATGCTTAGCTTACACAAAATGATGTTCTCACAGCCCACAAAAGCCTTCCACAGCCTCTGCAGCAGCAGTGTATTTATAAAGTTACCTTTTAAAATTCCTTTTTTAAATATTTGAAGTTACTGTTCCAAATTCACTATGCATCAAGATCAGAAAATACACTTATAATTTAAATAACTTATGATATTATATTCTGTTCTAGATTCACTATGCATCAAGATCAGAAAATACCCTTATACTTTGAGTAACTTATGACAACATACTCAATATAACCAATGGATAGAAATGATACTTAATTTAAAGTAAAACCACTACACTTTTGCTATAGTCAAAGTTAAACATTATCACAATCCTATTGGAGCTATATTAACTAAAGGTTTTGTTCAAAAGATCAACATAGATATTTAAGCAAAGAATGATCAAGAATAAACTATGGAACAATGCAAATTACAGCAAAATAGCTATTAAATCTTAAAGTCTGAATGAATTATTAACTTTAAAGACTCATTATGAAGATTGCCTTTAAGACATTTTTAAATTTTCCATACTATTATAAGACAAAAGGACTTTTAAGTTTTAAAATAAACAGTTGTATTTCTTATAATTTTTATGTTTAAGATTTGCTATCCTCATTTGCTCTCATAACTTTAATTTGTAAATGCATCTTAGTATTTATGGATCTTTTCCTTTGATTCATGCATGTCATTATATAAAGAACATTATTTACTTCTTATTCTCTTTATTTTTTTGCATACCTTTAATTGCAGTTTCAGTACCATCCAGTCATATGATTAAATGAATTTGTAAATAGTATTGAATAAATTACAAATTATAATCATCAAAAACAAACTTTCCATATTCATTTTTGTTTGTTATTATTAAATTTTCAAAGTGGTATGCTACCACTCTGTAACTTCCAATCTTAAATCTAAGGCTTTTAAGAGTTTAAAAAAGATACTACATAGTGCCTAAAAAGTTCAAAGGTACTTTTATTTCATACCTATAGAAAAATAGTACAATATCAAGAATTATTTAAAGATTACCATATAGTAATTTGATCTTACTTTTATAAACAAATTAATAAGTCTTTTAAAAACCATTCTTTAAGAGTATTTCCTTTTTATAGTATGTAGAAATATTTTCTTATTTCTCCATTCCTCCCTTATTTTTTATCATTCTCTTATTACATTCTCTCACAATATTACAGTTGCCTCTCATATATTTTATTTGCATTATTGCCTTTTATTAAGCTATTTTTTCACAAATAACACCATATAGTTTGTTAATGGTTGAAAATTCTATGCCCTTAACCTCTTGTGAGGCATCTAACTGCATAAACAACATAGTTTCTACCTGGCCATACGATGCCACTAGGGCATTAATTAGGTAAATTTGTATTAATCTTACAATAAAAAAAATGGAAAGTTAAGAAGAGGAGAAGCCTATAACAACCACTTGATATGAGTATTGACTGTAAGCAGTGTCTTCACAACCTCAATTTTTCCTATAATGTGATGACTGCATTAAGGATTATTACATTCCTTTAGACTTCATCCTTATTTTACTATTATAAATTATTTAGTTTTACTCCATGTATATATTTATTCTCTCTTTTATTTATAATATATTCATTTCATTCTCTCCATTATTAATGAAAATAATTAAACATAGATCCAATACAAAAGAGGAGTATTGCAAACTTAATTATTGAAAGAAGAAATTCAAATGAAGATTCCAGTCCTGATTCCCATTGTAAAAAATAAGTTTTGATTATAATTTAGAATTTGTTACATTCTCAATAGTTGTTTCTTTGGGAAGGACCTATGTAATAATACATGGTACCAACATTTTATGGCTAAAGCAAAATCACCATTCACATTTATATTGAATGCTAATTAATTAATTGAATTAACTTTCTATAGAACAAAGAGCAACTTTAATTCAAGTGAACTATTAAACATTATTATTTGATATTATAGAGTGATTATATAAACAGGCCTATATGGAAGAAATATGATTAAAATAGAAGGGGTTGGCTGTACTTTTAAAATAGAAGAAAGTAAGAAAGTTAAATACTCATAAAGACATTTACAATATCACAATCAGTAGTTTAATTAAGATATACAAATTCCATTTACTTATCTTTTATTAATCCTATTAATCCCCACAAATATAAGTTGCATTTAAATGTCATATCAGATAAAGTAGTAAATGCTTTTTTCACACAGTGTGGTATATTATTATTGCCTTTATAGATCAATTAGAAGATCGATATATCAATCAAAAATTCTATTGAATTATAAAATATTTAGTGTAGAGGTTTAAAAGGTACAACATGTAAATATTAGATGGCAGGCATGAAAGAACATACCTAATATTAATTCATCTAAATAATGTATAATACCTACCACCTATACAATCCCTTTCTCATATAGATAATATATTCATCTCACTGGATGATTTAAAATTGCAATAAGAATAGTTGTCAATTTTTTTCTTACCTAGTCAATTAGACTATGGTATACAAATACATGTCCAGGAATTTGACATAAAACTTGAACTCTTTAAATATAGGTGATTTCCTGTGAAATTTTTCTAGAATTTTATTAAAAACACAGATTAAATATACATGATGATAATTTATTAACAACAACCAATGTATGATAACATATATAACAGAAGATTGTTTATTGAATTGGATATAAGATTAGTTAAAAGGGTTTGTAAATCAAAGATCAAAAATGTGAAACACGTCATTATTGAATCAAAGGAATTCCACCACCACCTTCAGCTTTTCAATGGACTACAAATGCCACTATTCAATTAATAAAATTAATAAAAGAAATCTCCACAGGCAATTCAATCAAATACCAAATCGCATCCACATCAATGTATGGACTCTTAAAATCCAATATAATTCAATTTATAGACAAATTAAATGCCTGATTAGAGTTAAACTTTTTAATCAATTGGAATTAGACTTCTTTAATGTCTAATTGGGGTCAGACATTTTAAATGTCCAATTGAAAAATTCGGCGAGAACATTTTAAAAATTATATGTTTTCCACTCAGTAAGTTCAGCCACCATGTATAATAAGGAATTGGGATTTGATTGATTGGATTGTAATTTTTTTAAAACCTGATTGGGGTCAAACTTTTTTAATGTCCAATTGGGACCGAACTATAATTTTTTTTAAAACCTTATTGGGGTCAGACTATAATTATTTTAAATATCTAATTGGAGTTGGACCATAAATTTTTAAATATCTGATTGGAATCAAACTTTAAATGTCATAATTGGAGTTGGTCTATAATTTTTATTTTTTAATTGTCCATTTGTTTTTAAGGGATAACAATTTAGGTATCACTTATAAAATCATAGTGATGATGGTATCTTGCAAAATCCACCAAATTTGGTATTGTCTCATTTCGTCACTCCAATACCTTTCATCAAAAATCAAGAGCAAGTTTCCAAAGTCTTAAAGCAGCACGCAAGTTGAAAGTTCGACAACTGGAAAGTCTAAAAGTATGTAAAGGTGTGGCATAGTCAAAAATTATGATTTAGAAGAGAAATGGGAAGAATCCGAACTATTCCATGCTTGCTTTTATTATGGACATGGATTTAGAATCTGCCCAGAATATAAGAAAGGTGTACTTAAAAAAATTTTCATTAAAAGATAGTAAGTTTTAAATACTGTAGTTGATCAAAAACTTTCATTAGTTTTTAATAAAATTGGAGTTTAAAGGAAATGCATCCTAAAGTGCTGATTATATGGAAGTATCTTTGTAATCTACTGACTATTAATTATAAATAGGTCACATTAATTATACATAATCAATTTAATGAGTATATAGGTAGAATTATACCCTCAGCAATGCATTATCTCTTGATCAAAATGAACATTTAACAATTTTGGTGATTATCTTAATTATGGGCAATTTATCAAAGTCAATTGAAAGGATCATAAATAGAAAGTTTACCAAAACTTGTGTAATGAATTATAATCATTATTGGACAATTCTTCACTTGACATCTTAAAAATCTTGGAGTTGCCTGGGCCTACCTTACAGGAATTTGGAGTAAATTCATGTAGATACTAAGTGTGCTATTCTGGGTCTTTAATAAATTGTATAAAAATATTTTGTTAATTTCTGATATATCACAAAATTTTATGCTAAATTTTTGAAGAAAACATTTCAGTCTACATGATGATTATTTTTTCTAAGAAATTATATACTAGAAGGAAATGGAGTAATATTGTTATTCCATTCCAGGAGGGTTTGTCTTATGAAATCTTGCCATCAATCAAGTTGTATATAGCTCTATCTTTTTCTATCTCTATATGACTTTTATGCTAGAAATGATAAATATATAGTTTATAATATAATCTTTAACATATTTTAGATTAGAAGTAAAATCTTAACTCCATAGTATTAAAGATGATATATTGCAAAAAAGTTGAATATTTATATTTTTAGACAATTACTGTTTATTATTGAATGAACTATTTTTATAAAATAGTTAATGGTTTTTTATGAAGTAAATTCTTAAATATAAAATAATCATTCATTTTAATCATTTATCTATTACTTATAATCCTTTTATCATTGCCTAACTGGGAGAAATCTCAATCATGCAAAATTGTAACAACTGAATTAACAGAAGGTTATACTCAAAAAACTTGAAATTACTTAATATTAATATTTATAGTGAATTTTTTAAAAAAAGTTAATTGGAAAATCAACATCTGAATTATCAGCAAACTTCAATTAACTTTATTTTTTGTTAACGGAAATGAAAAAAATAAATTATATTAGTGAGTTGTTTACTCAATGTATCAGAAAGATCTAAAATTATCAGAATTCGCCAGTCAATACAACTAACTCAATGGAATTCCTCAAGAAAAAGTTCTGATAAAATAAAATTTTGTTACTTTTGTTACTGAATCTAATTTGATTTGGGAATATCAAGAAGAATATATTGATGATATCAAAATGTTTTATTATTCAAAGAAATATTATTAATATATTATGCAAAAAACAATTTTTTTAAATTTAAAGGTGATTTAATGAATACATTCATGCACCTAATAAATGAAATTATAATAGACACAAAACATAAGTAAAACATTAGGCTACTTATATTAATGATAACTGCCAATTATATAGAAAAGTTGAGACCTATTGCTAGTATAGATTTTCAACATTGTCCAACTGAATTCAAACACAAAGATTCATCTAAAAAAGATAGAATGAGATAGGTGATCAAATCCAGAAAGCAATTAAATAAAGGGAAAGTGAAGGCTTAAGCAACCACCATATTTGTAATACAACTATTATTTCATATTTTCATTACAGGTGTAGTTGACTTCAGCATGCAATAAATATTATACTGATTACTGAATCAAATTAAATTATTATTATAAATTGGATTTAAAAACTATGTGCTAATAGTATAGCTTATATGAAAGATCTTAAAGGCTATAGGCATTGATCAAGAAGAAGTTATATCACCACTTTTTGTGGTATATTTATTATGACCTCTTATTATGCAAAGTGGAATCTTGTTCCTTGGGCTATGAAGTACATAAATAGATAGGGCTATGCATAAATCAGCTGTTAAAATTAGTATTACTGATATAAAAATCAGATTTTGTCAAAATCAGCGTAAATAAATAGGGCTATGCACAAATTGGCAAGGAGACTCAAATAACAGAAAATTGCCATGGGACAAGTGAAATATAAAGAGATAATTTGTATAATACTGAGATTAATATTCACTCAGAACTTCATAAAATAATCCCTGTTAACTAGTATAAATAATATAAAATGAATCCATTCAGTTTTGTATAATAATGGCAACTATTTTACATGAAAAACAAACTTTGCAGAAACCTCTGGTTTTCACAAAATATGTCAGACATAATCACTACATATTACTAACAGATGGTATATATATGTTCTATATATTTTAATATATGCAATATGTTTGTAATATTAATAAAATAATGTTATAATATTTTTAATATATGCTGAAATTTAAACTTAAACTAATATAGTGTAGTAAATATTTTGTAATATGAATAAAATAATTTTACAATATTTTCAAAGTATGTTAAAACATGTACTTAAACTAATGATATAGTGAATATTTTGAATATGTTGTTAATATATTTCAAATATGCTGCTGATATATGAATAACATATTTTGAATACTGTTGTTGATATACAAATAATATATTTTGAATATATTGTTGATATATGAATAATATATTTTGAATATATTGTTGTTATATGAATAACTGCTTCTAGCATGTGACTCTATAAGGTCGATCGCAAATGGCATATTTTTTCTTCTTGACTGTCCAGTTACTACATCACTACTTTATATTGGCTATATGAAGGCAGTATGAAACCTTAATTTTTTTAATTTAAATAATACAACTATTTTTTATAAAAAAAAAATTAACTATAGATTTTTATCCTTTTTATCCTTTCACTTCAACTTGATGATATAGAAGCAATAAGAATGTTAATGCAACAATTTTTTTAATTTATTGATATATAGCAAAAATCTATAATAACAAATTTTGTGACTTTTATACATTTAGGAATCATAAACTTCGTAGCCTCGCTCAATTAAGACAATGTATTACTAGACCTACACTAACGATGACTTTAGTAAGGCTTTCTTTATGAATTAAAAGAAATTTCATGCACTTTGCCATCTGGTGGGATAGCTTATGACCTCTAACCTCAAGTCTATTTATACTTATAAATCCAAATGTTTTGCATCGCTAATAAAAGTATAGTACTAAGAACTCTATAACTGGTAAAAATTTTAGACCAGAAAAAAAAACTTTGGAGGATTTTACCGTAGAGTTTTTCAATATTTTGATGTAGATATATTTTTTAATGAAAATTCATAAGTAAAATATGGTATTTTCTTTAAATAAAAAAAAAGAAAATAACAAAACATTAATGATCGTTTCATTATTTTTTTCAAAAAATATTAATACCCTTCCTTTAAAATCCAAAGAACTGATCACCTACAAAATAAAAAAAAAAAAAGAACTATTAGTAAAGTTCGTTAAAATTAATAAAAAAATTAAAATAAAAAAAATCATGTCTTTATACCAAAATGGCGAGTCTAAGGCAGAATGTCACGTCTAAAGAGACCGAAGAACACCTAGAAAAAAGGAAAAGGAGAAAAAGAGAAAGAGCAAAGAGAAAGAAAGACGAGAAAGAGAGGAATATGGGAAAAAAAGGAAAGAAAGGAAAGGGAAAAAAATGAAAAAGGGTAAAGGGAAAAAATGAAAGAAAGAGAAAGGGAAAAAAATGAAAAAGAAAAGGAAAAGGGAAATTTTACAAAAAAAATTTAAGCTTAAACTAAAAAAAGCTTAAGTTTTAACAGTAAAATGATCAAACTGCCAATGAAAAAAAGGAAAAAATGAAATGAAACGAACGGTAAAAATGAAAAAAAAAAGAAAGTGTAAAAAGGGGTGAAGTGGTTGAAAGGGAAACTGTGAAAGAAAGACAGATGAGAGGGGGAAGGAAAAAGAAGGGTAGAAGGATGTGAATGGGAAAGGGCAAAGTAATGTTTAATTAAACTTTAAAAAAAAAGGCTTAAAAAAATAATCAACAGAAAGTTGTGTCACATGATATAATACACGTGATTGTTAAATGGCTTCGTAACTTTTAAATTATAATATTATGTTACATAATGCAAATCTATACAGGATTGATTATCTGCCAATAAATTGCATTATCTGCAGATATTGATAATTTTTTTAAGGTATAAATATCGATAATTATCACTTTATCACTTTATCGATAATTATCACATTTTATCATACTAAATAAATCAATAATTAATGTATTATTATTATCATTGATAAATAACTGAAAAATATATATTTATCGATGAATTCTATAAGATA